AATTGTTTAAATAAAAACTCGACGTACTTATTTACATGTACTCAGTTTATAAGTGAAGTCATAAGAATCATCATGTTTGTAAAATATATTTTAGTAGTGTGTTTGTTTGCACTAATTTTTCACGAAACAAGTAGTTTTTCCTTACAAAGTTGCTTCGACAAAGACTCCATATCTTGCATACAACTGAAGGTAAAACGTTCTACCAGCATTAATTTTATTGATTGCCTGCAGAATAAATTGAATAATTATCGAAGTTCTCCATCGAATTAACTGAAACAATCAATCAATATTACTTCAGGTTTATCAGATAGCTAAATCGGCGTTCGGCTTATCGACAAGGGGCATTTCCGATTTCCTCGATCCATCTAAGAGTCCGGAAAATCCGGACGAAAAACCAGACGAAAAACAGAACCAAGCGATAATACATGCGGAGAATGTTGAACAAAGACAGATATTACTCGAGCGTTTCTTCGGGGAAAACTTACAAAATTTATGGAATAAAGTATCGGTTTCGTGGAGAAACGGCATTTTGCGACCGGCACTCGAACTTCTAAGCGGAAAAGTTACAGAAAATATTGGTAAGTAATACACTATTGAATTTATTGACTTCACTGTAAATATCTTTCTTGAAATAAATAAATTCGAGCCAACATTACCTGCATTATTCATTCGCTTAAATAACATTTCAGCTCGTTCAGAAGAAACTAAGCATCAGGACAATCAGTTGCAACTCCATATTTTAATCGGTGCTGCCCTTAAATTATCATTAATTGCTGCTTTGTCATACATGACTGTCGCTACCGTCGCTTCGAAAGCCCTTATAGCCGGTTCCGCGGCGCTTTTAATTTCAGGGTATTTTTTGATGAAAAATAAAGTCGATTTTACATCCGAAAGTGGCATCCAGAACAATTGGGGTGTCCAATCGCATGCCAATTTCAACAACGAAGAGAATCATTCCCCGTCGTTTCGATCGAGTAGATGAGTTGTTTGGTGAAAATTATTATTGTACAAAGTTTTTATTTATTGTAATTGTATGAATTTTTTTATAGTTGGTAATAGAACTGTTTATTATCATAGCAGAAATAATTATATAATAACTCGTTCCATTCGAACAGTGTTGAAAACGAATCCTTATAAAAAGATTTGTCTTAAATAATTGCTTTGGTTACTAAATACTTTTACTAACCTCCTTTCCGACCCTGAAATTCGTAGGTGTAATGCTATTCTTCCGTAACGATAATTCGGTATAATTGATCTATTTTTTTCCTCTTTGGTTCGTAAAAAATTGAAGGATACTGTGAAGATAAGTTGGAGACGTCTGGTGTAGTTTTTTTAGTAGGTACCTAATTTCAAAGTTTTTTTTTTATTTTTCTAATTGGCCTAGATAATTTCCATCGATTTGCAGCATCACGTTGTGATAATTTCGTCAATGAAATCGAAAATACCAACAGGATCAATATTTATTTATGCGTTACGAAAGCAAACATTACATTATATGATTAGCATATTATGGAACAATTACTCGTCAATTATAATTTGTTTTGTGAGCTGACGTGAATATATTCATTCGATTTATTCGTTACAAACGAATTTATAACTGGGTGTTTAAAAAAAAATCACTTGTCGAAGGCGCGTTTTGGGTCTTAGGAGCGTCACTTTCTTTTTTTTCCGGTTTTAAGGTCAACGTGAGCAATTACAAATTATAATTCGGATTTCTTCATAGTGGTTCCCAAAGTTTAATACGTCCCACGTTCACGAACTCTCATCGTTGTCTAGCAGGTTTCCCATTGATTTATGAATGAACGCGATAACAGGTCGTCGCTTCATCGGTCTAAAAATTACATTTTTTTAACTTTCATCGGGTTTATTGTAGAACATTTGATTGCACACGGGATATTTTCGAATTGGAAAAAATGACAATAATTCTTTAGGGCGGACAGGCTGATCCGATAAACCTGAATTTACTGTTGTAATTTCACAAAAAGTATGTAAAGGATTGCAATTTATAGCTGACTGGAAATGTATAGTCGAATTTCTAGGTTCGAAAACATTCAAATGCACGTAAATGTAAACCGAACAATATTAAGTAGGAGATTATAACAGTGTCATCAACTACACATAGTAATAATTATAATCAATTGCAATGCGATGGATCGCAATCAACTCTTCATTATGTTGTCCGATTAAAACCAGTCCTCGTATTAATAACCCAGAAATACATCAAACAATAGTAATTGCCAAGCGTATTAATTCCTGCAATACAATAACGACAATAATTCCAATTAAATACGTGCATCAATAATAAAACAGCGATCGGTCTTTCGACCCGTTAAATACGATTTCATTTCCTTTCATCGGACATCGGTGGGATTTAATGTAGGTCTTAAACTTTTGCTTATAAAGGTCGACATGTCTCTATTCAAATCCGCAGTAAGTATTTATCCGTCAGAGGTTTATCATGGATTTCTCTTTGTTATTTCGGAAAGTTTAAGGAAGAATATTTTTCTGTAAAAAGTAGATTTCTTAAGATCGTTATTTAAAGAGGGTTTGATTTACCCTATAGATTGCTTTATTAAGAATGTGCATTTGTATAGGTCAAATCTGAAATATATCTGAAATATTTGATTTTTCAGAATCGTAACTTTATTGCACTTGAAGTTAGGCAACTCTTATTGTTTAAATAAAGTAGAGCTTGGAGATATGAGATTAAATAATTACTAATAGAGCTAATACTAGAGAAGCTTTATATTAATTATGTGATATAGAAAAACTTAGTTAAAGCTCTTTTATAGTGTATACTATACAATAATAATTTATAATAATTTTATTAAAACATTAGATAACTTTCTTTAAAATATACTGTTTAATTGATTCAAATCATTTATTAATCATTTTTGTTACAATTTTTCGTTAATTAAACAGATTAAATAAACATTTAAACTTCGCAATAATTATCAAACCGCCAATATTTTTTATCAGCCACCGATGCATTAATTAATTAAATTCAAGCTAGCAGGAAAAGTGTTATTTATCGCAGGTAACCCACCGGTCCTCTCACGCCATCTGTCGGCATCGATCGCGATCGCCCGGCCGATTTCTCCTGTTATTATTTTTTATACGCGTTTCGGTAACCCGGTGTTCCGCTTTCAGTGAACACTTTCTAACTTCTTCGGTCCCACCCGAAGCGGCCGGGCGACCGTCGCTCTTGAACCTGTCGCACGGATGTACGTTTATCGCCTGTCACCTTGACACTCGCAGCCGTTCACCTTCCAAAGAGAATGACGAAACGTTTCCGTTTCGGCCGAACTTGCTCTCGAGAGTTTCGATTCCTCCGGCGGATCGATGGATTTTTGTCGGAGAACCAGCTTGCCCGCGCCAGCGGCGGAACCACGCGGATATTTAACACCTTCCAGCATCACACCATTACCAAAGAGTAGACAGTTCTATCTGATCTGTGCTATTACTCCCAAATAATACAGTAGATAATAAAATGTATCAGAAAATACTCCAACATACTACATATTGCTCATAAAATTTTGCGTATAGAAATTTCTAGTACCCAGACCTTTGGTACCTGGTGTGATCGACGCCACTGGAATATTTCTTGGGCATGCCACACAAACAGGCTGTTAAAAATGTAGGCCACTGGGTGACTGACTTCTGTGAACTTGACTATAGTATAATTGAGAGAAATTTTCGAATGTAGGTCGATATTAAAAGACGGATGCAAGAACAAGTTTTTTTTTTATTTATGTATTTAGTTGTTTCGATTAATTTGTAAACGAGATGGCGCATCTGGAGTTTGAAGTTTTTAGGGTGTACGGAAAAATTGTATTTTGGGGATTTCATTGTTTAATAGTAATGATTCGAGTTGAAGTAAATATTTGAAGGGCTACAAATACTTAATTGGATTCCATTTATAAAACTTTTAATGGAATCGAACTTTAACTTTGGTAAAGTAGGTATCCGTTTAACATGAGTTAATGCTCCTCGTAACTTCTTTCATTATTGACTACCTAATATAAATAAAAAAGGAATATAAGTACATAAAAGGAAAAGTAAGTTCGAGTTTTCCTTTCGAAATTACTTTAAAATTTGATACCTGTAGGAATGTTTAGTTAAGTATTTTTTATCTAAATTGTGATGCTTTAAAGTTTGTGAATATAAATTAGATACAAAATAAATGTAGTTCAATAAATGGAAAAATGGTGGATATCTTAGTAATCAGCGTATCCACCATAATTTTAAGTGTGTATATCTCGTAAGTTTTGAAATTGGAAAAAATATTTTGAGTAACAATTTTACAACAAATAATTATTTTTATTAAAAACATTATCAACTCATTATTACTTTCCTTTTTGTCTATCATTAGGGTAAGGAAAGTAAAAATCAGGATTATAACATATATTTTTTCATATTTATTAGGTCATTCAAAATAAAGAGTACATTAGTAAATTTAGATACTTTAACAACTAAAACCTGAGAACTGTTTCTAACTGTAGAGAAACAAATTGTAATTCAATATGAAGAAAATTTTTAGCATTTTTTGACAATATGCCAAAAAACGATTTTTTTTATTCAAAGTGAATGAATACACATAATGCGGATGATAGTGAATGAAGTAATTCCGTTAAAAATGAGTGATGATTTGATTGATGGTGTTAATGATGAAAATGAAAAGAAAATTATTTACAATAGAGAGTAAGTATTGAATATTGTAATGTCACAGTCTAATAGTTCGTACAGTTAATGTTAATAAACGTAAACATTGAATAGAAAGTCATAGTTAACAGTCCGTTAGTTTGTCAGTGGCAAAAAATCGACAAAAAAAATAAATAGCAATAAATTAACTTGTGAAAAAATCGTACCTTCGAATTCAGCAGTTATGCAAGTATCAAGAATGATTGTACCGAAATATTCCAACATTGAAATTACTTGTTATACCTCAAATAAGTTCTAAATTAAATATTAAAGTATTTGCATATTCACTGCTTTCCTCGTTACTGAGTTTTCTTGTATTCGGGCCAACCTTTGTACGCCATTTCGGCCGCCTCTCTCTTCTTCCTGTACTCATGTCCGTGCCCTGCATGTATCACGGTGTGACCCTCATCGTGGTCGGAATGGACTAGCTTCTTCAAACCGATGATAATGGAAAGCATCAGAGCTAACGCAGACACCATAAGGGCCTTCATGGCGAGGAGACCCACACCTCCGATTCCGAGGGCCGCCAATAATTTACCCATCATCATCCCCATCACCATAACGCCTCCCATACCACCGCCACCGCCGCCTCCTTTGCCTCCGCCGCCGCCTCCTCCGCCGCCGCCTCTGGCCGAGCCTGCAATAACGTACAATTATGAACTGCGTTTTAATGAAACCTTTTGCATGTAAATGCGATTATGTAGTAGTTTTAACGGTTGGTGTTTTAGGTATTGGCTAAGTGTATGTAAAATTTCCAAGCGGTGTCGGAAATTCGGGATAAATTTTAATTAAATCCTATTAATTTGTTCTAATTAAATTAATTTTATTAAAAATAGTTTGAAACTAGTGAAACGTGTTGATTCGTTTATATTACAACTCTTGCGTAAAGTATAAACGAAATTATTTTGTAATTTCGTATTGTAGTAGTAATTAAATATCTATCAGGTATTAAATTTGTAGATATTCGCAATTTGTATCGCTTTAAATTAACAGTAGCCAGAATAACGATATGGTTCGCAGATTTTTAATGAATTAACAAAAATAAATTTATATTACATATCTTCCTACATTTGTTTAATAGTATAAGAATGTTTTTGAATTATATCAACAGTACATGATTTGCTTGGGAATCACTCAATTACGAAAGGAAGGAACTTATTAGATCTGTAAAGTCCGTTCTGAAGGAGTTTTTAATAGATTCCTTGATTTGCGCAATCGAATTCCAGCGATAAAGGAGCAAACGTAATTGCAATGAGGGAGATTGGCCTCTAAATCTCATAAATGTAATTTGCTGCAAAATTGCGTTATAAGTATATACGAAAATGTCTGCCATTTAATTTCCTATAAGAAAGAGTATTTCAACGCAAATGCCAGCCTGCGTCAGTTACATTGCGAGACTTATTAAGATCTAAATGAGTTTTTGCATGAACCTTTTAGATGGCAACGTAGGTACTTAAGTGAATGTTACAATATAGTGACAGTGATAGATTAATATCTTCTCCCAGATGCTCCACGATGGTTATATAGTTTCATTAAAATAAATTTAAATTGCTATTGGAAGTTATTGTATATCGTAACCAACCCATAATAATAATCTTTAAAATTATTCACAATGATGTTATGCATCTAATAATAATAAATTTACAAACCCAAATATTACTAAAATAGTAGTAGCTTTTATCGATTTTAGTTACCCCATTGTTTACATTTCGTGACAATTATTCTAATTAACGGAGCTTCGTGCACAAAAAGCTATGTTTGTCCCCTCAAATTAGAAAATATATACACACTCGAACGTATTCAAATGAAGGGATTCCACGAATTGTCACCATGTTACATGGTATGCGTAACAACAAAAGTTATGTTTTAGAGATACATCCGCATTAATTGCTTCGGTAATGAATGCAAAATTTAACTAAGGAATGCGCAAACAATTCTGCTATTTATTTCAGAGATAATATTTCGGATGCTGTTTGATTATATACTACAGAATGATTTATTATAAGCGGATATTCTGTAGTTAATAAAATATATTGGTGATAATTATAAAACTCACTTTCATCTTGCTTAGTATCCATTTCGTCCATGGCCGTTTTGAATGCCCTACCGAATCCTTCGCCGGGCATCAGTTCCGGCAGCCGGATCCTGAGCTCGTGATTGCCTAGGTAATTCTCGACGACGCCCAGGATGGAGCCGTCGTCGACGTTGGCCCGGGCGTCGTTTTCACTCCTCGTATTAACGATGTAAACGCCATCGCCCAGCTTGAGGGCGTCCGGTTGCGACTTTAGGTATTGCCGGAAAACTTTCGTCAGAATTTGCAGGCCGCCGGCCCCGCTTTGAGGAGTCTCGGTCCTCACGTCGGACAACAAGAATATAACACTAATCAACACCAAGTACTTCATGATCTGTGTTGTCGGATAAAATGTGAAAATCTAGCCACTTGTCCGCTCTTATATCTGAGAGCAGATTAAAAATCATGCTACTTTTTAAGACTTTTCATTATTGGCATTTAGTGGAGCAGAAAACGATGCAGAACAACAAAAAAAACGACTCGAAACGGACGCAAATGTGCTAAAAGGAATTAGATCGGCGAGATGAATTGACCTGCTTATCGATTAAATTTCTCAAAGTAAAGTGAGATTTTCGTATTACAGGGACAGAACAAATTGTTTACAATTAACCGATAGAATCTTCACGGTGTGGTCGCTTTATAACAAAAATAAAATTGAAACTACTAATGCATAAAAAATTTACCATGGTAATTAACACGCTATTATCGAAAGTATTAAAAGCCATTTAAGTCATGATAATAAATTAGAAAAACACATTAATCGCCATTTTAATACCCAAAGCACCCGAGAATATTTCTATAAAATTTATTAAATTAGTTATTCAAGTTCATCATATTACATACAATTTTCCTAGTAAATTGGGATTTTTTAAAGATTAATGCAACTAATATTAACAATCCGAATTAACCCTGTATCTATGAAATCTACAGAGAATTTGTTGTTTTCCAACTTTATCAAACTGGAACGTAGGCCGTTCATTAGAAAATTCTGATAAAACTAGTTTACTTTTAAACAAGACTTGCAAAACAGGACTTAACTAGAATGAATAAGGAAATCGAAGAACAGGTGAAAAAATATCAGGACCGGAGCGAGTACAATCAACACCAAGACATAAGAATGAATTGCAACTCCCAACAAAATTTTCTCAAATACAAAATATATTAGAAAATTAAATTGGGACAATAAAAACAATGCCTCAGAATGGTTTCATTTCGTTAATTTCTTTCATTCGTAATTACTACTTAGTTCTTCTCTGTTTCGTTTCCCCTTCTCGTTTGTCAACCATTAGTAATTACCTAATTAGGTGCAATGGGTAATCTGGTGGCGATGCTAGATTTGCTATTTATTTAATTGTTAATTTCGCTCCGTGGGTATAGAAATTAAGATCCGGCGCATAAGTGTTCCATTGGGTTGGATAGAGAAAGGAGACTGGAAAGTTCTCCGGTACACGTTTATGGATAAAAATCGGACTTTCAATGATAATGGGATTCAATTTTTATCCGGCCGGTGGTAATGATAGCTATATTCGTACCCCAATAGCTATCATTTCACGATACTCCTTACCAGCCTTTTAATATCATACATTTTAAAAAAGAAACCTATAAATCAATTTACGAGTAGATGCTTTTTTTGTAGTAATGTACTTACACGAATCTCTGGAGATTGGCGACACTCGTTGGCAATTTGTTATCGTAAATCTCCCAAATATGCCATATGAGTGGCTGTTATACCTAAACATAATAAACCTTATTTATTGTGCAGCATCAAATAAATAAATCTGAAGAAAATGAATGTGGAAACCCCGGGAGGTCCATTATACTCATATGTTTACTTCAACAAAGGAAGTATCTAAATCGAATTTAAATTATGGATCGCAAAAATAGGGAAATTTTGTTTCGCAATTAATTACTTGTGTTTTAAGAATAAATAGCGGTAAACTTAATTTGTTATATTTTCTTTTCTGATTAATCGTGACTCTTGTAATGGTTTCATTATATTGTCTAGCTATTACTTTCAAATATCCTAAATTAAATTTATAAATGTTTTCTTAAATTTTCTCTATCGACTCGATTTAATTCTCATCTAATAACAATAATATCTGCAACTATTATGATTCATAAATTTCATTGTAATAGTAACCTACAAATGCTCTTTCATAACATCGCCTCAAACAATGAATTTGTAGCTTCACTTTCGAGCCGTTAAAATCCTTTTCCTTTCCGTTTCGATAGACCAAAAAAGAGAGCAATTAATTAAAAACACAGTTAAAAGATAATAACTTCGAATTGGATATTTTTTGCAGCCTAATTTTTGAAGGTTTTAGTATTATAAAAGCCTAAAGTATTTGTGATGAAGTCATAAAGTATTCTCTATTAAATTTTTAGTTATACGTGTATTAAGAGACATCTCATTTTTACCTACTTTCTGGAGAATGTTTTTTTATTTTCAGTACTTAATACTTACAGCCAGTCATGCGACATATAATACCAATTCTCCATTTTCTGCAGATTTATTTTACCATAATTGTTTTTTTTTTCTATAATCCTTTTTCTATTCATATCTTCTATCCTTAAATTGTTAAAAGGACTAGATACCTACGTCATGATATTTGACCTAATTTTATTTTAGTATGCTATGCATTACATTTATGTAGCTCTAGTTTAATTTCTAATATAACTTTGAAATTATCATGAAATTTTAATCCAGTCGAAACCTATCCCAATGAATAAATTATAGCGCCAGAGTAAACATGGAAATTTTCCATTATTTAATGACTATGTAGGTACTTATTTAATAGTAAAATTTGTATCGTATCACAATGGAAACGAGCACTTACAAAACGTCCTGAATTTTCTCAATTTCTCTTCTCTTCGTTCCTAAAGCGCGCAAATCCATATCCGGAAAATTTCTATTGAAAATGTGAAATTTCAAATCCGGATTTCGTTTTACTTAATCTGTAACCAAGTAAGCGATAGTAGCGGAACGATTGAATTTCACATGCGATAAGTGAAAGAGGAGATAATGTAGATAAGGAGTATCCAAGTTCAAAGAGTCCTGTTTGAACCTTTATTACTTCATCCCTTATAAAAAAAATCATAAGGATGTAGAGCTTACAAAACAGTTCGAATTAAATGTATAGGTGTTCCAATGAATACAAATAAGGGATGTTTATTAATAGAATCCAATATTCAATATTGTTCATTAATTTTACAATTAAGGTAGGTAATTAAAAGAAGCATTACATTGTAATCTAGACCATAACTTTGGGTAATAATTTTTAATGTCTTCATCATGCTGGTTTTGCAGGGAATAAGACACTTTTACAAAGAATTTCTTATTTTGCAAATATGTAATACACATAAATTGTACATTTTTGTTATTCATGAACATTGTGTTCGATATGTAGGTAATTCCGGCTAAGAATATCGGAAGAGGCGTAAACGAAATTAAACGGCGAAAATCTTCTACATCCTCTAAGTACTCTCAATCTCGTATGAAATCGACGAAGATCAGCGGTTAACGGAGCGATAACGTACAATTAATTAGTTCATTACTCATTATAACCCGACATTAAAAAAATCATTTCACGCGATTGGTTAGGGTTGACTACCAAGTGTAAACGATATAAGAACTGCTTTATGGTTTTCTCTCATCATTTTCGATAACGCACACACAATGATACCAGTGATGGTGGTGTTTTGATGTATTCCATTCGTTCCGTTTGCTCGTGAGTGATTTTTTCGTTGCGAATTTGGATCAATGAGTTGATCCTGATAGCAAAGAGATGCTTTTAAATGGTTTGCTGCTTCCAATCGTATTTGCAAGTTACGCCAATGCGGTTTGGTACAAAGATATTATATCACCGAAGGGATGGGAATTCGGCGACGGGATGATTTTTCACGTCGAAGACACCAAAAATTCGAACTCGTCCTTTTTCGACAGGATCGCCCTGAGGGTAGATTACGGAAACGTCGCTGTTAGTGCGGTGCCCAAACCGGAGAAAGAAGCTGTCCAATTAGATTTTTTTGTGAAAGACCAACAAGAAGGTAAAGAATATATTTTCTCGAGAAACTAAGGAAATATTCGCATCGATTTTTTGCAGGTAGAAGTAAAAAAACAATGGGTAACATGTTAATACCTTTCTGGCTGGGGGCGGCAAAAGGCACCGCCGTAACGACCCTCTTGGCCGGCATGAAACTAATGGCTTTAAAATCCTTATTGATTGCCAAAATAGCAGTGATCATTTCAGCCGTGATAATAGCCTCTAAATTTTTAAAGAAATCCGAGCCCTATTACGTGGAAGTGGAGCAAAGCGCGGGTTCCCATCCCGTACCCGTCTACGAATTTCCAGGTAAATTCGCTGCAAAAAACACTGCAACCGCGTGATGTTTTATTTGTTTAGGAGAAAATCATGTGGTAGACCAGCAAGTATACGCGTATTCTCCTTACCATGCGTACGCGCCTTCAGCCAGCGACGCTGCAGGAAATTATGCCACGGTAGTGGAAGTCGCAGGTGGCGAAAACGAAACGGCTGCTGGTAAACAATACGCCCTGCCTGTGCCTGCGGCTGCGAAGAGGAAGGATCCCGCAAAAAGGAAATTTATACCCGCATCAACCGTTTTGACTATAAAACATTACAACAAACCCAATAGTCTACTATAATTTATTACCAAAAAAATTAATCTATAACATTAGCATATATTTCATATTTATTATTATTATTATTTACTTCCAAACTTTTTTCGATTATAATAATATTTATTATTGAAGCAAATACATGAAAGTTTGTAAGTCTAGTTTATATAATCAATAAATTATTTTGTAGTAGTTATTTTTACTTTTTTTTATTAATGTAGGAATCGCTGCAATAAACCGCCATTTTCACAGGCGTTTACTTAACACAACTTCCTTTGATTCGAACCACTAATTCGTACGAAAACATATCTCTTCTACTCTTTGCATACATCTAATTAATTAAAATGCCCTTTGGTGTGTATTTATTCATTTCATCAAACGAATTAGGGCATGTAGAATAATATTTATTATTTTCGAGTGGCTGGTGTAAGTATATTTATCTACACTCACGAATTTATCGGTAAGTATACCATTTCGTGTTGAATATCAGAGTTAGATGCTTAGATGGAAGTTTAAATTGAATTGCATTGGTTAATTGCACTTGTATATTATGTACAAAAGGAATATGAACGAACATGAAATGAGCTTTATAATCTACAGCACTTTATCATAACAAGCTTAAGGCAAGGTGTAATAACGTATTTATTTACCAATGAAAGATTAATAAATATTTCCTTAAATTAGGTACATTAATTATCTACTTGATATTTTAAAAGTAGAGATCTTTCAAATAAGGGAAAATAAATAAAGTTGTGGATCCTATTTGAAGAAATAAAGTGAGTGCGTAATGGAAAGATGGTATTGAAAATAATTTATTTAAATCTGGGAACTTCATTTTACTTCTATTTTCTTTCCTACGATGCACTGGATAGCTTTCATTTTAAATAATAGAAAAGCTTCCGCCTCTATCAGTCTAAAACTTTTCAACTGTAGCCATTTTAAAAACGTATAAAAATTACATTACATTATCGATCTCTTCTGAAAATTTTTCATTTTCGGAGAAAAACAGGCAGCGCAAACTTTCCGGACATTTAGTTAATTGCTGCTTGTTGTCTGAAACGAACTTTTATAAAAATTGTAATGAACTTTTACAAAAATAATTATGCAACTCTAATTATCTTGCCATTGTTCGGAATCATCCGCGATTCACCAACGAAAAATAAAAACCAAAAAATATGTAACAACTTGCTCTTTTTTTTATTGAAACAAACATCAACAAAACACGAATCGAATAAATATTAAATTAAACCAATAAATAATTAGGTTAACGTCAGATGGAAAACACCAATATGGTGCACGACCGATCGGATCACAATCAATTGGAGGGCACGTGGGCGCTGTAGGCCAGGTTCTGGGCCGCGTGGGCGTCGAAGTTCCTGCCCCAGCCGCCGCCGCCGTGACCGCCGTCGAAGCCGCCGCCCGAGTGGCCGTGGTCGTGGTGCTCGTGGTGCTCGTGGCTCGGATGAGCCACCACCTCGTACGTTACGTGCTTCTCTTGGCTCAGGAGCTTCTTCAAACCGATGATGACTGCAAGAACTAACGCCAACTGGAACGAAAAAAATAGGTTTATAGATTTGCTGCATTAGGTTTTCATTGATTTCTTGATCAATTCAAAGATTTGAGTAGGAAAGATAATTGAATAGGTGGTACTTAAGATAGGCAACACATTTGTAATGATGTTAGGATTATTGCCTAACTATTAGTATATCTATTCAAGAATAGTACTACTTGTAAAAAGTGTTGCATAGCTGAGTACTATTCAAGTAGAATATACATATGAACAAGCAAATGAAAGTAGTGACTACTTTGCGAGAGATCTATCTAAAATTCGAACTTACCTTGCTGACTAGTAAGGCCTTTCCGACCAGCAAAACTAAGGCTTTGAAGGCGAGGGCTTTGAGCAAACCGATTTTCATGACAGCGGCGGCCAAAATGGCGTCCATGCCGCCGCCCCCTTTGTTTTTCTTCTTACGTCCTTCCTCGACTCCTGCGGGACTGGGTTTCAGGGATAAACCGAGGTTTAGGCTGCCGTCTTTGTCGGTGTTGCCTGACAGAACGACGTCGGCTCCATCTAATGCCTGCGAATTGATAGTTAAATATTAGAGAATTTAAATAATATGTAGAAGGTGTTATTTTGTTTAGAAACTTTTTTTAAATACTACTTAAACGTACTAGTAAACAACGCTCGCTGATTAATTATTAATTTTCTCGATACATCGCATTTATGGATCGATAATTAGGTGTAACACACGTTAGATAATTGATTACCATTAGATGTAATCATAACATTGCGCTTAGAAAATTGTTTAAAAAAACTGATAGAAATTCTTCCTAGTTAATGAGAGCATCACGACAGTTACATTTTAATAATTACAAGCCGCTAATCGCCTTAGCGGAGCCGCATTATCATGACAGATAATGCAGTTTATGATTTATGCAATTACGTAAGCGTTAAGCATCGATTTTTTATTAGTAATTTAAGCTTCTTAGATTAGAGTTTTAACTCAACCGTCCACCGGCTACCTTTCCCAATTAATTTTGTAAAATTTTAGGTGCTACGCAGCAATTACCCACGCTGACCCCTGCTTTAGCGATACCGCTCGGGCGATTAGATTACATCGCAAAAAGCCGTAGATTTGTAGGTTGAATTAACAATTTAACGCCGAGCTGATGGCCGTTTTCGATAAGGAATTTCTAACGCATCGAGTTTCACATACGACCTTTTACGATGCACATATCTCGGATGTTCGCATTGTTCTAGCTTTCTTTCGATTTTTTTCCCGCGGTCGCTTTTTCCTCCGTTTGATCAAACGAACAAGTCCGCCGATGAGCGAGAGAAATTATAAAAAAAATCGAATAGATGGAGAAGTATAATCGACGCATTTAACCTCTACGTGAAATGGTAAAATGGTGTTTATTGGCGTTTAGAGATCGTGGTTACTTTTATTATAATACTTTCTATGAGATGTTATGAGGACGAAGGTCAAAAGATCCTCATGATCTTCATTTCTATTCATGGTTATTCGCTTGGTTAATTTGCATGGAATAACTTTTTTAACAGAGTTTTATTGATTTTAAGTCATCCAATAAAATTGGTACTATGTAGTATAATAATTTGTATGTATGTAGAGTGAATTTCAAAACAAAAAATCTAGTAAATGGCAATGCATTGTTTAATAATGCAAAATTCGCGTTTCAGTCATTTTACCTTGTGAGCGAAATGTAAAACTTTTACACATATTGAATTCACGTGGTATCCATCTTTTGATGTCTTATCCACGTAAATAATAAAATCGTATTATGCATGTATCAACAGAGCGAGAACACCAGAGAGACATGTATTTGTACAAAGTTGGAATATTTTTCCACGATTTTTTTCCACGTCCTGTCGGCGAGATAACGTTTTATAGATTAAAGGGAATATACGCAAGATTCCGCAACAAAGATGTATAGAAAGCATTGTATTGGATAAAATATTTCAATAGATTGCTAGAATACCTCGAATATAAACAAAATGATCGGTTTTTATACGAATGGAATTTATTTTTCTTCCGTAAAATAACAAACGCTTCGAGAAAATACTGTTTTATGAAGCGAAAAATACCTCTATAGTAAACTGTCTCGTTTTCATCAGTTTCTGTTTAATATTTCTACACAAATTCGCCTACTTTTGAAATAAATATTTACGTTTAATTATCGATAACTCACCCTCCATTTCAAGGACCTGGTCTGCATGAAATCGTACGCTTTCTCGGCCATAACATCGTACAATTGCTCGTCTTCGGACATCTTCTCCACGTCGTTAATGCTTCTCGACGTTTCCAAGTTAACGGTTTTCGTGGAAGTTTGCGTGATTTCGATGTCGCCGAATTCGATGTGAGACTTCTTCATTAGCCTGTTGAAGTAGGTTACCAACTTCAGCATCATGCAGGAGCTGATGTCTTGGTTGGAGCATTTCGTGTTCAGTTTCTTGAACAGCGACTCTTCGATGGTGGACTTGTCGGAGTGGACCTGCAAAGAGAAATCGAACGAATCCGTTAAATTGCGTAAATGGAATTGACCGTTGGGAAATTGAAGGTTTTGATGTATGCATTACAAATGGACGACAACAAAGAGCACTTCAGGTACTCGTGAAATCCGTGTTGTCCGTTAATTTAATTATCCGCTATAAAATTAATCTAGATAGAAAATAGCATTTTGTATTATAATTGAGGAGGTCTCGTTGAAAAACGAATCTAAAGCGATGTTCTGCGAAGTTTCAGGGATAATTACAGTTGGAATGAATGAAAGTTTCGAGCTTTGTTTTAAGAGTTATAATCCAAGAAATTGAAAACTAGAACGGGAATTATAATTATCTAAATTACAATCGACTGGATTATTCTGTCATAGTATAACAAAAATTGCTAAAAACTAACTTCAATTAGTATATTAATTATACGAATTTTTTAGGTACAAAGGTAAAACAGATGTCTAATAAAATTCTAAGTGAAACTTTGGGATAATTAATAGATGAAAATTTAATTAAAAAAATTTCGGCTACCTCCTGGCTTGGTACTTTCTTCTTTTTTTAATTAGTCACGAACCATTAATGAATATACTTTGTGATCATTCTCCAGATGGTATTCACTAGGCGAATTTGAGAATCATTATAAACGAATTAATGTTAAACGCTACAACGTGATCGAAAATGAGCATTCGTTTAAATTCATGTCGGTTGTTCCTTCCATTTATCATTTTTCTGTCGAATTCGAACTATCATCCGACTTGGATCGTTTTTTCTGAATCGAAATAAATTTCTATAAACAGTTGTATGTTTTCCCGTTTAATTGATTTTGTAGGTATTCCGATGATTACATTTGTATTGGTATCTATTTAATTACCTACATATAATTACATACATATGAGTGAAATTTCAATAGTAATAATGAGCACTGCTGACTCTTAATACGACAATTGATTGATCGATCGATATTTGATATGATTTTATTACAGCTTTTAAGTTATTTTCAGGTGCTGAATGTACTTGTGTTAAAAATAATTCCGATTGATGGCAGCTGAAATTCTTATTCTCATGATTATTTTTTTTGCAAACCAAATTTTTTTATTTGAAATTTATAATTGTTCTCCATGATATTTTAGGTTCAGTGCTCATATGCATTATTTTACCTACAGGTTATTGATTGCAGTGGAAATTTTGTTTAATATTCAGCACGTATTTCTGGAAAATGTTGACGGCCTGCCCGCAGTAATTTAAATAATTTTTCATTGAATTAGTAATCTCACAGCCTACTGCTTAAGACAACCTTCGCGTTTACACAAATTCAATGCGAAGGCGGTAAGAGGAATAAAAAGAGTTAATCAAGAAATATAAGGTTTCAACAAATACTGAATATTTTATTGTGAGGAGCTTGATTATGTTCTAACGAAGCGAATACCAATTTACTTTTCAACAAGTATATTAAAAATTATTTAGGTAATTTATTGGCTTGTAATACCCATTACAAAATATAAATTTAACGCTTTAGCGCTAATTATTGGAGGTATAATAACTGCACAACCTGTTATACTCATTTTATTGTTAGCGTAAAATCAAAAACGTGAGATATAATCACGTCTGAGACAACAGTAAAATGCACACGCTATTGTAAAGAAATGGTATATGAATAAAAATATTACTTAAAATAAAATTAAATATGTGTGAAATAAATTGAAAATATTAAAAATGCAATATTATTTTAATGATAAATAAAAATAGGGTAAAGAAAATTTCTTACCGAATTAATATGCTCTTTTCCATCTTCAACAACGGGTACAGCGAGTACGGAACTCACCAAAACCAAACTGCTTATCACAAAACAAGTCACTTTATAGTTCATTTTCACTACTGATTTTTTTATCGATAGGACTAATTAAAATAAAATAAAATTAATTTTTGGATGTCGGTGTTAAGGACGAAGCATGTCCGAAGGTAACCAATGAAATGGGATCCTCCGAAGAAGAGGTAGTTTTTATACGATCAGAACATACGAGGTTTTGACAAGTATGTCAAATGGACCAGTTGGAGAATGCCACTATCGCAGAAAATAGGGTCTCCCGCTGAAATCGTGGCGAAGATCGCTGCTTTGTTTGGTCTTCTGTAGTTGAGTCGTGAAACAAGGATACCATCCGCCATCGACAGTGAAATTGTTCCCACCGAATACTTTTTTTTCTAGTACAATAATTTATGAATGAAGCACCAGTGTCCGATTAACTCGACAAGAAAGTATGTCTTTATGGAATATATTTTTTATATTTAATTAATATGTTGTGTGAAATTTAAATACTTTAGACTGGTTTGATTTATGTAGGTGACAATATTAAATTAACATCCACAATAAACCACTATATTTACTACATTGTACCTGCGGGGTAATTGAAAGAAAAGCCGGCTATGACTTGCTCGGAAATTCGAAAGTTTGTCACAATTTTCAAAAAAACGTGTCGAAATGTGACCTTTTAAACAAAAATCAATGGATACAAATAGTGTTGAAAATTATACATTTTTTTTCATGATGAGATGATTTTCTTAATTAATAAAATTTTACTCCGTTGGTCATTTTTGCCAATTACTTCGACGATACCAAAAAAAGTTGGATTCAATTAGGGATTCAAATAATTGGTAATTAAAATTTTACGCCGAATAACCGAAAAATTACAGCATGCCTAATTAACCAGACAATTAAATCCCAAATATTGAAACTTCTTATACCTCGTAAATATAAAAAAATGTACCTATATAGTTATGAATATCTACAATAAAAACCCCGCAAAATAAGATTAATTAGATTAATTTAGTACCTTTAGTGGGTAATTGAGAATAATTTTAAATAACAACCGAGCTAATCAGCAGGTAAGCAATATTTTTTATGTAGGCTCATGCTCATCATTCCAAAAATTACTCTCAATTTTCTCACAGTAATTTTACCAAAATTGCGGTCCGGCAGTTTTCTTCGTTCGAATTAGATTTAAGTGAGTTAATTAAATTTATTAAATTGCCAGATTTAACAAAGGTAATGACTTTTTATTCACTTACCACGTTACATTTCGCTCTCTGGTAAGTAGCAAGTACAATGGTTTGTTAATTCCTGGTTCGTAATGAGATCGTGCGAAAGAATGGCAAAGGAATACCATGATAACTATAATTGGTTGTTTTGTATTCAAATTGTTTACATTTAAATAAAAGCTTCTATTCAAATTCGTTTTTTATCGACTAGGTGAAAATTAGGATCAAAGGAAAAATAGGTCAAATAATGTAGTAAAATAATAGGTCAAGTAATAAGTTAATAATAAATAAGTTTTTAAAAAAGTACGTGATATTGTGTTAATATTTTCAAGAAATTACCTGCATTTTTTTAGTCGTAGTTTCTAATAACTTAATAATAATCATTTTTAAAATTACAATAATTCATCGAGTTTCCTCGCACATCGTTAATGTTTCTTCTGAGCACATACATAATTGAAATGCGTTTATTGTTGTTTTTTTGTTGAACTTTATTACATTTTGTTATAAATGTTATTAAAAGTATTAATAAAACTTTTCCCATAAATTTCTACATACATATGCAGCAAAAGAAATGTCCGTAATCTTACATTTCCTATTCGAATTTTATAATTGTTCCCGAAACCTACAAAAAATTAACTGCCTATAACATCTAAAGAAATGAATGTCAAGAACTGAATAATCAATTAATTGCCAGGTAAATTGGTAAGAAATTGGAGAAACGTAGTCATTTTGTAAATAAATTGGATATTATTTGTTTTAAATTAACTGTTTTTATATACAAGAAAGTAATAATAAATTTGTTATTGTCATAAGTGCACAAATGAGTATCTATAATAGCTTATAGCAAATTAGTTTAATAACTGATTATAGTTAATAAAAAAACAGTAAATTATGTTAATCTGACTTTAATAGTTAATTTTTATATTTGTTTCAATGGAATAAATTTATTGACTTCTTAAGTAATTTGTAATATTCACAAATCGTGATATTATTTGCTTTCTTCGTAAATTCGTTAACCATGGAAAAAAGTAGCTTCATATATTTGAACTCCTTTATATTATTTACGTAACATGTAGCATGTAGGTATTTAACACTTACGCTATGTAAATTGACTTATTCAACAGGTGTCGTCTATTTATCTAAGTTAATAATTACCATCTATCAAATGAGATATTTTCACTGATAATGCAGGTACTTTCCTTAATAAACGAATGCTGTGCTCTTGATGTAATCAAATTCGCTCCATTTTCAATGTTATTTTCACTGAATAATTTAGAGTAGGAAGAAAGTAATTTCAATTACATACATATACATACATATATTAATTAAAAGTTTTTCCTTTTTAGGTTCTACTCGCGTAACGTTTAATTAATAAATAGCCCAGACATGCAAGCATAAAACAGAGTAATCCGATGGAATAATTTCACAAATGATCGTGAAAATTTTAATTATTCTGCTACAGTAGATTTATAAATTTTCGTCCAAATTAAATGCAGTTTTAGTTTCTTGGACATTTGCCATTTGTGAATCTAGGTATTAGAATTACATTCCGCTGTTAATTCCTGCTGACATATGTTGCATCCATAGTTTACATCCTTCTAGACTATTTCTCGTATCGCAAAAGTACTTTTCAGCGTTTTATTACTTCCATATGAAGGACTTTCACAATTTCATTTATAGAAAAGCGTTTCTCGATCCGGTTCGAAAACTGTCCTCGGAATTACATAGTTTCGAATTCGAACAAAATTATGAAATTTTCATCGAGAAGAAAGTCAGGCACTAGTTCGAAAAAAATGTAGGTTGAATTTCGAACCAAAGTGTCTATTTAACTGTTCATCTCATTTTGCCAAACAATAATTTGAATATATTAATGCGTAGAAACTTAAAATACCTAGGTATTAGAACTGGTCGTTAAAATTGCTTAGGCGTAAGGAGCTTTAAAATGGAGCATTTCATTGAAAATATAATTACGTAGATGATTGATGAATTCTTTTATTAACAACAAAATTAATAAAAAGTTTATCTTTGAAGTGGTGTTTATATTTTTATAGCCGCAAATCTAATGCCTTGTTAAGTTCTTTAAGTAAACAAATCGTATTTTTGCCAACTCTAAAATGCTAATTATCTCTTTGATCTCTAACTTAAATTACGTTGAAATTGACCTATCAGTACACGAAATGCTTTGAACAGACAGAACATACAACAAAAATGAAATCAAAATACTGAGGCCGCTCTTGATAACGATAATTCCAGCCAATAATCCAATATAAACTTTTGCGTACAATTTCTGATCTAATCTAAAAAAATGCGAACTGGAAAGTCATTTTTCATGAAACTAATACAAACTTTTAAAATTAAAATTGATATTTCATGTTGAAATTGGGTAGGTGTAATGCGAAAACTCCATGAACATGTCTTATACATATACCTACGTATGTACGTGTCTCGTGAAAGTTGTAACTTTAGGAAGCTCTGTTCAAAGTGCGATAAAAGCGCTCTTAGATATTAAAACAAAGTTTTGGAGACGAATTTGAATATATGTATGTAAGTATGCCTAGATACATATCGGCAGCTCCGAAATTCCCTATACTAGTTTTAGAACTACTTGTAACAAATATACTATAATTTAGAACTATTAAAATAATAAATTACGATTAATGTTTTTTAATATAAACAAACAGCAAAATAAATATAAATCTATGACAAATGTAGTGTCATACATATTTTTATGTCACACATAAATACATTTATAAATAACTATGTATGTACTTATAAATTTAATTCTCTTTATTTACCGTTATGTCCTTTAGCCTGAAGCTTATCAGAATTTGACCATAACGTTATAGAGAAATATAAAATATGCATCAACTTACCTATATGGTCAAGGTTACTTTCAGCATAATCTACTGAATGCATTAAATCAATGGCCTAGATAAAAAACCGAAAAAAAAATGCATTAATAAATTCTATTAATAATATTATTCAACAGAAAGATGTAGAATTCCGTTTTTGCTTTTTTTACTAAAAGAAAAAATGTATACACATATAAAAAATGTAAACATGCAAGTTTTTACAATATTTTTTTTGCAATAATTTTTTTAGGGAATATTAATGTTATTTTACAAAAAAATGAATTGCTGAGAGACAATTTAACTAGAAAGTCTATTGAATATAATTTTTAAGAAAATTTAGGAAGAGGGGATTTCCCTAATTTCAATAGGGGCTTTTAGATTTTTCTCAAATTGATGTACCTATTAGTTCCGCCTATGTTTTCAAAAGAGATAAGGCACAAATCGCAGAGAATCATATGGTAGTTGTTGTGTGCTATTAACCTCAAAATGTTAAAGGCAGTAAGATTCCTCGCCGGTTAATGGAATCAAGCGAGTACACTTGACATTGAATTTATCGGTTCACATCAATTGCAAAGTGTTGGAAAGGAATGTGCATAAAACATAAAGACATATTCCAACACGCCATGAGTAATGTTCCGGCTTCTTTATGCCAGCAAATAATCAAAATCATCGAATTCGAGAGAAAACAATTCTCAATCGATCCTTCATTTCTTTGTATCGTTTCTTGTTTGCTCAAAGTCGATTCGCTGTAACAATTTGGAATCGTGCCAGACGAATTCAATACAGGTTTATTATACTGGTTTTTAAATATGAAAACAACAGGAAATTATTTTCGTACGAGCCGCACAAGCGTGTTAATTCGAAGGTGCGGTGAGTTAACGAAGAGTACGTTCCAAATTCGAATATTGATGGTATCGATGAATATGTTTTTGAATATTTTTCATGTTTATGACCTACATTTCCCGCACACCGGTAGCTCGATACTACTTTTAGAACTAAATCGTAATGCGAGAGCTTTAAAGCTGTAATAACAGAGCTTTATCCGAGATAGGAAAATAACTGCGAGTTACTAAATACGCGTTTTAAAAAGTACCAAAATCGCATAAAGAAAAAAAAAAGAAACCGCGCACCGAATACAAGAAAACGCCAGAGAAAATAAAAGAAACCGAGCAGCACAATCCTTTTAAGATGAGCTTCGCATAATGAGAACACCTTTCGGTTTCACTATGCAAGTACCAATTCCGTACAGTATCTGTGCATGAACGCGGTACTATCTTCAAGTTCACGACCTCCTTTCCGAGCAGAATTTCGCATAAAATCTATGTTAAAGGTCAGCGAGATCTCGACGATTGGTTAGATGATGGTCGAAACTCGAACCTTAAGGTGCGTTATTTCTGATGGGAACGTTCCGTATAGGTGCTATTTCTGCATCATAATTTCTCATTGATGTTTCACAAATAAATAAAAAAGAAGCAGCACCGTTAAAAATGGTTATTCCTGCTACATTCCAAGTTTGATTTAAAGCACTTATTTAAAAGTCAAATCCGAATAAATTGCATAACTTTGTTAGTAAAGAGGTTTTATGATTTGCTTTTACAGCGACAGCGAGCTGGCTCTTCCGCAAAATGTGCTTGGTAAGGACGTGGAAAGTGGAAATGAAACGCTGCACGCTTTACGTCCGATGGAACGTAACATGCACAATAATATTCAAACTCTAGTGTTGGGTAAAAAAGGGTTTTATGCTCACTTTGCCAGGTTGTATGTTCACAACTGTAAAAAGTACTGGGAAATTTATGCCCAAATTCGCGCAACATTCTAGTCTAAATGTTGATTTTTAATGGTATAAAAGGCGCTTGCATAATCTAACAACATACAGGGTGTTCCAAAATGAAATGCTAATATTTAAGGGGGTGATTCTTAAATATTTTTTAAGGAAAAAAAACTTCTTTAAACAATCAATTTTTTGTAATAACTGAGAGTACCTACTAATGTAGTTATCTTTATGAAATTTGGCACGCGTCTTCTATGAATCCTCATTCAATTTAGAACAAATTTGATTTCTTGACTTTTTTCCGTACGAGTCATTGTTTAGCATTAAAAAAATAAATGCATTTATTTGTAGGTACGCTGTCGCTACATTAGGCGCTATGCTAAAATTAAAAAATAATAAATTTTTGATTTAGGACATGTGATGATATGAAGTTTTTTTCTCCAAATGGGTCCAAGAATCACCCCCTTAAATATTAGCATGTCATAATGGAACACCCTGTATAATATTCATGACAATAGCAGCATGCACTTGTATGTTCATCATAATTGTTTCGTATGAACTCCTAGGGAACTAAAGTATGGGGGGTATATGATAATAGATAGTAATTATTTATAAATTGGAAATTGCTTTGGATATATTTCAGTTAAATATGATACTATAATCAAACTACATTATTAGGTAAACAAAATTTTAATTGAATTAAATTCAATCCGGCAAGAATATGGAATTCGAATCATGTAATGCTGGTGTTGCATTCGCTAATATTCGAATTGCGTATTCCAGAAAACGTAGGAATATCTAATTAATATCACTAATGTTCCTAATAATTAATTAAAGGAACTCATAATTTATTTTGTTGATTTATATAAATCATCCAGGTACTTAAATATTAATAGGTATTCGTGCATAACACATAATTCAAATGGGATATATGGAATATACATATAACATCTCAATCAATTTTGCGGTGTTTCCGTTTGCCACTGTAAGAGCAGGTAAATAATTTGCAGAAAAAATAATGGATATGGCTTCTGGGACGTCAGCACAATTTCATTTTAACGTTCGATGTCACTTTAAAAATCAATACTATTTTTCTGACAAATTGGATTTTCCGGCATCTACGTGCATATGAAAATGTTACAAAATTTATGACTACGTTTACATGTGTAATCTTCGTTAAATTACACTTTTGTAATTTCCAGATTTATTCATTCTTATTTTTCTATACATTTTTATGGCAATTAAAATATGTTACTTTGTGCTAGTTTACAAAGGGTTTATTATTTATTTGCAAATAAAATTTAGATTCGTTTCAATCACTATAGGCAAATTTATATAACTGTATTATGAAGGCATAATATGCAGAATTAAATTTGTCATTCCATATACATCGGTAATAAAGTCAAAATAAAATTAAATAATTCGTAAAACAAATGGAAACTGTAATGGATTTACAAACGGCAATAAAATTATAATTTTTAATTCAATACGTATAGTAGTTTTTAAAAATATTTCATTCATCACTTTTTAATTTCATTACACAGTGAATTTATACATACCATATTCATTCTAAATCTAATAATAGTCTCATTGGCTCGATTTGATCGCATATTTGCATTCGATTTTCCTTTACATATTTACAAGCTTAAAAATAAATTAATGCCGAGCATAATTAAATGTCTTTCCTACGATATTCCCTAATTACTAAGAATCTGGTAAAATGGATTTTTTCGACGTCGTTTCCGCTTGAATATTTGATTCTTTATTTCTGTATTGGCTCCATCCATTGTAAGCCAAGTTTTGAGCTGATTCTTCATCGCTTCTAAAATGCACGCCTCCACCATATTGGGGATACTCTTGATGATGATAATGTGGAGTGTGATGATGTGGTTGATAAGCGATTCCGGATGTAGAGTATTGAGGGCTTAAAGGACCAAAAAATGAACCTAAAACAAGATATTAGTCATTTCAAAGTAAACTTATAAGAATGGAAACTAAGGAGGACAAACGAAGGAGAACGAACGAGGGAGAAAGAAAAATAGCAAATATCCGAGAACCGGGCGGGTTTGGCGCCTGCCTCGGTATTGGATTCAATTTCCCCTACGGGAAATTCCATTAGATCTGTTAAGAAGGGTAATGTTATTCGATTCGTTTCATAATATTATTTGCAACTCCATGTTCCATAACAAATTCAGCTCACAATCTCTAAATACTATAAAATTTACATCATATATTAAATATACCTACTGAATCCATCTGGAGTAAATATTTAATGAAATATAGAGTATATAAATAAATGAATAATGAAAACTATTTTTTATTTCAACTCACCTCCGTTTGGCTTTATGATAGGCTTGCAAAAATTGAAGAAAGCAATCGCTCCCGGTATAATTAGAGCCAAAAATCCTAAGAGTTTTTGAAACGAGGCAAGTCCCAATATAAGCGGCAAAAATAGGAGCAATTTCAATTTAAAGATTTTCAACACCAAGAGAAGCGGAATAAACAATTTTTTCAGCTGTTTCCTCCCTATAAATAAATCGTGAAATTACTTTTCAGCAACGAAAAATCATCGCAAGCGCTTACTAATTATAGAGTCTTTTTTATCTTCGATTATATCAATTTCCCCGACTATTTCATCGATAAATCGGGGCGCGTAGCGTCCGCTCTCCGTTACTTCCTGGTTGAAGTCGAGCTCAAAAGCGGTAGATTTCATGAATTTCTCCAGCTAGAAAATAAAATTTACTGTATTAAAAGTTTTCTATTTGTTTCAAAAGTTCTTCACAAATATTACCTTTCTTTTGGCGAATTTAATTAACTGATCCCATTCCGGTTCATCCGCTCTTGGGCTCTCCGAATATTCGTACTGTTCTTGGGACAGCTGCCTCAGCTGAGTCTCCGGCATTCTCCTAATTCTAGCCGTCTCGCTAATGGAATATTCAGGCTGGAAATTCAGAAATACTTTTGTTTATTTCCTATCGTATCGTATGGATCAAGATTTAGATTCGTAATTGATGAATACTTGCCTTATTGAAAAAATCATCAAAAGAAGCTAAGGCTCTCGATTTGAAGCATTCTGCTAGGTCTCCATTGAGGCAAGCACCATTAGCTCTGGCCAAATAAGGGTCTGTTTCTGGTCCCGTACCGAACCCAATCCAATCCAGTAAATTCCGTCCTTTTGATAACGAATTTTTTAGTAAAAAACCAAACGTATTTATAATTCAAAAGTTCTGTTTCTCTCGCAAATTTTTCTGCAACGCTGCCTATAAGTTCACTTACCTTCTCGACCATCGCCGGCGTAATCTTGAGACGGGTTCAAGTTGCTGTCTTGACCGATTGATTGCAGCGCCATCAACGTCACACCGAAGACTAAAACCAACCATTTGGTCACATCCGGCATTCTGATCTCTCGTAAAACCGTCGAAAAATCGAGCGAGCTGAATTTGTTCTGCACGAGCCCAATCGAAATTGTGCACGCACTGATGGATCGTAACTCGGGCTGGGATATCGCTTAACGGTACTTCAATCCGAATTAGCGCTTCATGCTAATTCGAATGCAGAAATGCGCTCGCTCGTACCGTTCTCGAATTGTATATATAGACTTATCGGGGGATGGTGTTGTGTTGTTGTTAGTAATTCGGAATCCCCGGTTATGTAATCGTTGAGCAAGAGGGGCAATACCCAGAGAAAGTTCGATCATAAGTCGTCTTATTTCGGTCTGTAACCTTGTTCTAGTCTTGAATGAAAGATCCTTCTAAATATCTTACATAATAATGGGAGTATGAAATGCGTGAATTAAACAAAACGTCTTCCCTGAAATTAAAAGAGCATGTATCGGGTAGCCAATTAGGCTAAAACTCGTCCTATTAATTTTCGCTGTACGTCCGTCAGCAAAGGCCTAATCCAATTTCATTGGATTTTATGCTGAATTAGTTTCTTTCAATTGAATGGATCACGACGGAACGCCGCGACAAGGGAACAGGACTTTCCAAAAGTTAACCGGATCTTGCAGGCCAATCAAACTTTCTCTTTGGTGCGGTTTTAACGTTGAAGGCATTTAATCAACTCGCCGCCTACCATGATGCCGTTCGGATAAATGAATTAGTCGTAAAATATTGTTGTAAATCGTAACGTTACGTAATAATGCATAAATTGTTTACTTTTTTATTCATTATGTTTTTTAAGTAAAATGGAATTTCTAAAATTTTCTCTTCAAACTTCGTACTTGTATCATAGCAAAAACGATTGGAGTTCGATATAATTTTATTTTAGCACAAACTTGCATCAAATTATCTAAATAAATCTAAATAAATTCAGAATTAAACTAATAACTCTTTCATACAGCAGAAAATATTTTATCGCAAAGATAAAGCGATTACGAAATCAAATCACAAACCCTGTTAAATTGTTCAATTAACAATATTCCACCAAAAAAGGCCCAATACCTGTAATTTGGGCATTTGTAAAGGAGTTCGCTTTGTAAAGTTGGGCCAGCATATAGGCTATAAATTGCACCTAAAAGGCTATATGTGGTATTTGAATTTGGTCAAAGGGTCCAAACTGCTTGTATCGTCTTTAATTTAAATCAACCTTCATTACAGAACTTTCTGTTTCGTAATTATGCCCTTATTAAAACTTGCAGAGTTCGTTATGGCATCAACAAAAATAAATCATGTGCTCGGACAGAGTTGTTAATCGAGGGTCCGCAGAGAAATTCGTTTAACCTTCTAATTTAGGCAATACAATCCTAATTTTTTACTTCAAGTCTTATTAAAATTGTTTTAATGGCCTTTCTTAGATTTTCATTTACCGGTTTATTCGAGCATACGAATTACTTATTTATTCGTTGGTATAAAGTTGGTATTATACCGCAGAATTTGGCTAAATACGAAATCTGTGAATCTGATGAATTCAATGCAGGCTTTTCCATACTCTGAACTCGAAGTTAAACGAACTTTTGGAGATTCTCATAACTTTAAATGGCTTCTGAAATGGGCAAATATCCATTTCCCAAACTCGTATTGCATTGAAAGCATTCAAGGTGTAACGGGTAGATTTGAAATATAAGCGAGTAATTATAAATTATTTAATATATCCCTATTTAAAATTATACATTTCTGAAGAAATAGAAGTAAGGGCTAAATCTACAATTCGAAATTGACTTTTAAGTCAAACACTTTAAATGTATAGCATTTTAATTTTGAATCGACATTATGACACACACGTTTTACCCAAAAACCGAAGAACCTAAATATGCCTACATACATCGATTTCAAAATTAATTATTCAACGACTCGTAACTAAAATTCTTCCACCTAATTCCTCCAATCACCAATGTATTTACAAATCTCATCTACACCCGGGCGTCCTATTGCAATTTCCTTGCCGAAACTAATTTATTAATGTCATTAAAAGTAGTTATCATAGCGGGACTAGGTTTGTTTGTGGTCAAAGATGGGCATTTTCCGTGCCTTTCGCATTTTACTCCATCTTGACCGTCTTTGGCAGCCTTCATGTACCTGAAGAATCTCAGAATATCGGGATTGTCGTTCGAAGGTTTGCGGAGTTCGTTCAATTCCCTAAAACAACAATACCAAAAGTTAATCAATTAATTATATTTAATCGTAATAATTAATTCTAACCAGTCTAGTCCATTTCGTAAGGCATAACAGTACAGTAACAGTAGGCATAAACATAAATTTTAAAAAAGATATCATTATAAGTTTATTCTCGGGCTATTCGAATTACAATAATAACCATCATTATATTAGCACCAATTTCAATTTAGAAAGTTGCAAAAACTGTAATTTTATTAAAGCGTTCATTAAAAACTAAATTAATGATAATAATTTTCGCGTTCATTATATTTATATCTACAGTGCGTGCATTTATTTTGGAGTCAAACGAAAATTTTAACTTAAAGTAATTCTCACGTGCTCACGCTTTAATGGGAAAATTTTTCATTAAAAGGATGAATCAGATGATAATGAATGGTTTCTTTACTTCCCCAGTGAATTCCACCGTTTCACGCTGGGATCAGAGCGTACCTAAGGCAATTATATGAGATAATATTTAATTTTTGTTGAGGAACTCGCTAATTTTGATTTTTTTTGGCTACCCAACCACCTTCTTAATTGAAAATTATTAGCCATAAATTCATAAATTTCAAATTCATAATTCTTGTTAATTTAAAACGGGCTTGCTAAAATTATTCAAATAGCAAATATTTAAAATATAATCTCGCTAATAAGATAACTAATTTTGCCATAGTGAAACCTTAATAGACTTAAGGAAGGTATTGTTAAATGCAACCTAATTTGATAACTCTATAGAATTAACGAATCGATAACACAACTTAAATAAATAAACAGCATTTAGCGAATTTTACCTTCGGTGTTTAACCTAGTGAATTTACCGACGATAATTGAATATTAATCGATCAATGCAAACTCAATTCTCTAATAATTAACGTTTCGGTGTCACGCCTTGTTATACCGAAACCCTTATTAGTAAACTTCAGGATTATTAAGGCTAAGTTTCAGAACTGAAATCTAAATGTGGCCTGCGGTTCGTTCGCTGATCTGCAATTACTCGGACAATTATCTTGGAATGTAGCTTTCCAGAAAGTTAACTGATTAAGATCGGCGTTTCCAAATCGTAATTAACAAATTCCTAGTTAATTGAACCCTCATTATATTATACTATATTGAATGCCTGCATGCAACTGTCAGATGGGATGTAACTGATACCATCAGAACGTAAAACAAGACAGTTCGAATGTCTATTTGATTTGAAATCCAGTATATCCAGATTTAATACGAAGTAATTCGAAACGAATCAATACATAGGTAATTAAAGAGAAAAAAAAAGGTTACGAAGCAGCATCACATCCGATATTGCGTTACAACAAAAATAAATCGAATTTATACTCATATATCCACAGCGAAGAGCAGCAGCCTCTTATATTAGTTCAATTATTTTGGAACTGAGGATAATTTTACATCGTACGTATTGAATGTACACATACAAAATAACTAAACCCATTATACGTTCGCAAATCAATAAACAACCGAATCCGATTCTCTTACCTGCTGAGCTGGGCGGACACCAGATTACTGTAGGGCGCGTATTTGGTCGGATTAGCGTACATCATGCACACCAGTCTTTCCCGACACCGTTCCGTCTCCGGGGACTTGGCGTTTCCCAAACCGAGCTGCTGGAAAATCGCATCGAGCCGCGACAACAGCGGACTGTAGAACGGATCGTAACTCGTCAGCAGCAACGACGACGACGGGATTTTGTGGAACACTTTGTAGTTTGTCTTCTTCTCGGGCCTCCTGAGATAGTAGTTGTCGCTGTGAGGCGTGGCGAACGAAACTCTTTGGTTCGGCGAAGTCCTGAAAAATAAACGAGAATTTAACTGGTGATTAGAAGCGAGTAGAATCGATTGTACCTGCTGTCCGTTGTACCGTCGTTTCTTTTGGCATCTAACGCAGCTAGCTGGTTGTTTGTATTGGAAGCTTCCTCGTTGAAATGGTGCCCCATGCCGTCGCCTTCGTTGTTGTACGGATCGACGTCTTTAAATTCGAAATCCTCCAGCTGGGTCTGTTGGTTATTGAAGCCCGTCGATGCGCCGGAGATGCCGGAGAACGTCGACAGGCCTTTGCCCACTATTTTGCCCAGGCCGCCCAGGATCGACGGCAGGAACATGGCTATAATGACGCTCTTGATCAGTTGGGCACCTATAACAAATGGCAGCAGGAGTTTCTTCAAGCCCAATGCTAAAAATCCCATACCGAATCCGGTCAGAAAGGAACTCTTGCCAGACTCATCTTTGCTCAACTCACCTGCAAATGAAGCGAATCTGATTATACGTATTGTCTAAGGAATGTTATTAGCGAATCTCCATGAATCTGGTTTTAAGAATAAAAGTAAAGAATCATGAGTTTACTGACCGCAATTTAACATTTGCCACGCTCCATTTTATCGACTAAGAAATCGAATCTTCCCAAACGAGAGTAAAACAGACGATTTAAAGCGTACAAAATCGCTGGAGAAAATTGAAAAGCTTGCGTGCTACACGATTATAGTTTCACTCATAATTGCAGTTACAAGAGTAGCTGGAATGATGTGATATTATTACCTGAAGAGAATAAGAACCGGGCAGTTTCTGGAAGGTTGACGGACAGTGCGTGACCCTCGGCGAACTGGTCGATTTTCCTATCCACGTATTCCTCGACGCTCTCCAAGCTCCTGCCATTCTGGCATCGGGCATCGAATGTCCCGTTCGTCTTTCCTTGCTGTTGGATCTCTTCGAGTCGAACTCCCGGCACTATGCTGAGCTCGTTAACACTAAACACACTGTCCACGTATTGTTTCAGTTCGGCGTCTAAGTAGCCGTCATCTTTACTGGGCGAAGGCAGCTCGCAGGTGTTGACTAGACGAACGCAGCAGAAGATGAGGAAGAATTTGGTTAGGTGGATCCTGCGGAGTCCGGTCCATGGATCGTCCATTTTCGGAATTGCATTACGTATATCTTCGGAAAATGAACTTGCGTTGTTTAAGCATTCACCACGTTATTTATTTCAGGTTTGTTAATTTTTACGGTATAGTAATTTCCATTTTTTTCGTATTGTATTGTATTGTAACAGTACTACATTGTAAGAAATGGTCTAATTTTGTTTTTTTTAACGAAGCATTACAAATTATAATTAATAACATTGCTGCAAGAAGAAACATTTTGTATAGATAATTATTTGTTTTTCTTCTATATAGAAAAACAGAACTACTCTAGATCTAAGATATGTCCTCAAAAACTTTAAAACGTGCCTTACCAGAATGAGTATAAATACATTCTATATTCTCAAATCGTTCGAGATATTATCAACGATTATAAGTTCTACTTTTATACGTCTTTGCATATTACAGACGAAAGGAAATTTTAACTAGAAACCAAGAGACCTACTAACCTATTGCGTGAATTTTACTCTTCAATCGGCGATTAATTAATTTCCCCGTAAGAGAGGATATCGGCCCGGGATGTCACAACGTTCTGTTAGATAATTGATTACTGGTTCAATCAATCACTAATTCGGGCAAAAACGGTTTTTAAGGAAGCAGACAATGCGTCTTCGTGTCCTTGTTCGAGGTTAATGAAATACATCAAAGTCGATGACACTTGTTACGAGCTTGTTTTGCAGCGAGAGAATTATTGGTTTCCACAACTCTACCAATGATTGATTAATTCGTTTATATTAAATTAATTTAAAATAAATATACTGATAAATTAACAAACACTATTTAAAAATGGAAGAATCTCCTTTATGAAGAGATGCACTTACCTTTCCTCAGCCGCTCATTCCGCTCGGCCAATGCACATGTTATCCCGGCGTTTGAGGCACAAAGGACGAATGAATAAATTTCGTTGGTTATTTTTGTGAGTCACGCGCGCGACTAGTACTTGCTATATCAGCGGTACCAACAGTTGTTAGACCCGATGGCAGCGCAGACCTGGCGTATTTCACTGCGGCCGAAGACGTTTACGATTGTTGACTCGAGGAATGTGGGTCATTGGGTCACTGGTCCGTGACTGGACTGCCCACTGATATCGAACAGTCCAAGTGGTAATGGAAAAATCGCATTTTTGCATACAAGAGTTTGGTTATTGGACTCGGGAAAATTGATAAAAGGCGGCGCACACTATGATGTTTTCAAACCAAAGCGTAAGAGATAATATTTACTTTTACTAAATTTTTCATAATTGAAAAACTTATCTCACTCGTTAAAATGGAGAAGCGGAAAATTGTTATAAAATATTCTATTATTTTTCGAAACGGAGAATTAAAATGAGTTGATTAATTAACCACTTAACTTTTTCTATCTGCATTCGATTTACTTGAGGAGGTTTGTTTATATTTCCGACTGTCGTTGATAAACGATGAAAATAAATTTTCAACCTTTTATAGTGAAAACTCGAGTTTTTAATCCCATTGTCTGGAATAACAAAGGGCCTGTGCATAAAGAAACACTCAAATGGATGAGAATTGAAAAATGAGCAAGTAATCCTGGGCTTCGTTTAATCTACTTTGTTTCAATTGATTTGAAATATTGCCGATTCCAGAAAATTTGTATTTTTTCGAACCGCCAGCACTACAACAAGATGACTCGAAGATATCAGTTTGTTTGAAGTTTAATTTGGTACGGTTACTAGTAAAGTGTCAATTTGAAGCCAATATTTTCAAAGGGAAACTTTTGATTTTCAAGAGCTGTAGTGCTAATGCTGTTACAAATTGTCCTCTTTACTGCTGTGTATTCAGTTGCACTTTGATGCTTTTTAAAGTGCGCTTTTGCCAAAGAAAACTTTACTTTAATAAAACGATGTACCTGTTACTCATCGTAAAAATGTCTATAACAATGGCTGATTTTTTCAAAGGAATGTGTCAATATTGAAGGAAAAATTGGCAAAATTGGATTCTTGTTAAATTTTATTCTTATCTGGAATAAAAAAATGTTTCTAATTTTGAATAGTGTGAAGTTAATTGACAAATTTAATCAGAAACAAATTTTAAATAATTAGTACCTACCTAAATAATAATGTAATACGAAAAAATCCAAATCATTGATCTATAAAAATATACCTAACTGTTTTATTTACCTTCCCATTGGTACACTGCTATAATATGCTATTAAATTGAAATATTAAATTTTCATACACTAAATCAACAATAAAAATAATACATGTTAAAAATAGGAACTGTAAATAAAAATTCTTGTTCATATTATACGTATTTAAGAAATACCTGAACCTTCACATAATATTTATAGTAATACCCAATTATAGATAAACTGTGGATATAATTTCAGTATGTAAATTGAATGTTAGAAAATCGACCAATAATTTGGTAAATTATATTTAAAGATATATCGGTGATATAATAAAACAGTTAGTTTAATAAATAGTTTATGACTAGTTTGGTAGATTCTTGTTTCCGGAATCTCCACAATTTCTCAAAAAAGCAATTATAACAGAACATATAGAACTACGAGTTTTTGGGGTTTCAAAAAGATTCCTTAGCTCGGATTTCAAGACTTTGTGCACGTTTATTCAACAAACACATAGTTTTGTACAACGTAAAAAGTTCCGCAATACTTATTGGGGCGATAAACGGCAAATTCATGCGTATTAAATGGCTACATCACACACATTATCGGATAATAAGCATGACCGGACGCCGGCGTTTTAACTATTTTCCTGTAATTTTACCATCAAGTCAAGCCAGCTATCTAATTCCTTCGAATGCTATTATTTTTTTCACCTACATTTCTTGTTAAGTGCGTTTAATAAAAGTGTGTCTGTTAATAGCATTGCATTTGGACACTAACATGTTTTAGTTTTTATAAGAGGAGTGTTTTGAGAATTTTGGTTATAACTTTATTTGTAAAGTGGACAAAAAGCGTTAAAATGAAATGCATCAAAAGAAGGTCGTTGATGAGGATAAGAGAAATTCGCTGGAGCAGAAGTTGTTTTTTACGGACGTTGTTCGTAATGTTAAATTAGCATTTTTACCGTGTTTTTAATTCTACTTTCAAGCTGACGCGTGCCAGTTACTAAAAATTGAATTTTTTTTACAACAAAATCGAAACTTGTTGAAACACCCAGTAGGTAGGTATGTACATCAAATTACGTTTATTAACATTCCTGTTTAATCGGCATACTCAATAGAACTGTTAAATTATCGTTGCAAATAAAGTGTAATTAAACTTTAATTTTCAAAGGGTTCGATTAAAACTCGTACATTCCCAAAATTTATTTCTAATTTCACCTGGGTACTTATTATATTGATCCGTGTTTATTAAAATTCCAGTTTATTCAAACTATGCAACGGACTTTACATGTAATTGAACGTAGGCGTAGCTCTCATTGAATTGTCGAAGGGTTCGGCTAAAACTCATAATTTTCTAAAAATTTAATTAACGGATCCTTAATTAGAGTATCCCTAATGAATCGCTCATCTATAATTAACAACTAGTTAAATTAGTCTTTTAATGGAAATGCGGAAATAGAAACTACTGAAAATATGGAAATTGCGTAATTAATCCCTTGTCGAGGAAACTTTAGTATGAATTCAAAATGCAATAAAAATCAAAGTAAGGACATTGATCCCATCTTAGCGCTCTAGACAGTAGACGATTATAAATAAAACGAAAGGATTGTTTCTGTAGTGACTAAAAGTGACTGAAAAGCAGAAAACTGAAACACCGGTCTCGAAAATGAGACGTTGCTTTTAGGAAAATTGAAACAACAAGGCGACACCCGGAGAATTGTAAACGGCAAAATAAATTACAGCTTGCACAACAATGGCTGCCGATTAATTCAATAGGCGTTATATATTAAATTCGTTAAGTATTCGGCCATTTCAAATTTTCAACCGGCTGCTCGTTCAATTTCAACCCTCCTGATATTTATTGGAATTTCGGTAATAGTACAATCAAACTGTTGTTTTCGCGTAAACCTTGAATGTATATTTGTATGTTTGGTCACGTAAAGGATAAACAGCTATTAAAAACAACAAATTCGTCACGTATATCAAATTAAAAACAAAACTCCCGCTGCCCAAGGGTATTTTCTAGAACGCAATCCTCTTGCAACACCCCTTAATTTAAAGGTTTCTATTGTTCCACCATTTTTAGTTAAATATGTTAGTCAGGATATGTATTTATTATTAACGAAATAAATTATTTAGATGATATCTGCATAGCAACTTCAGTGGAGAGCGCTCCCATTTTGTATAATGGAAAGAAGCAAACAAGCTCATTATCATAGCTGGATACAGGAGGAAGTCCTATCTAGGTTAATTAATATATTCGAGAAAAATGCAGTAAAAAAATAGGAATACCTTGGTAGCAAATTACTTGAACTAATTAACTGATGGTCCTTTTAATATTATGTATCTTATATTCTTTTAAAATTATTTTTTATATTGTGGTTCGCTTAAGTTTCATCTGCAAGCCAAAATTATTTTATGTATTTCATTTCAATATAAGGCAATGTAGTTTTCTAAGCTTTCCTTGTGCGTTGTAGGAAGCAAGGCATTTTTCCTTTGATATTTTTTACACTAATTCTTGCTCATTCTTTTGCGGATTCGTCGTTTTGTAACGTAACAAATAATTCTTATTAATTTTTTGTTGTTTCTTCGGAAGGCTAGAATGTCAAGAGGTGAAAAAATATCAACAACGTCGATTTACCAAACTCCAAAAACTCGTAATCAAAATTCAATACAACCCGTTTTGAAATCCGATCATGTTCAGTTCTATTGAATTTTACGAGAGCCCTTTTTTATCCGGTCCATGCTATCAATAATGATGTAGGTACAAATCAAACGAAGCTTTCTTTTTTATTTTTAGAGATAAAATATGCAAATAATTACCTTTTGGCGAACGTGATTGATATGGTTGACACGTACATACTGCAAAATCCCATCTATATAGCTTTAAAACGAACTAGTCTTTTTTTGGGCAGAGCAAATGCAGGAAGATTCTAGCTGTTTCAAATAGGATATGTATAAATATTTTTTTAGCTCATTTCGCTTATTGCTCATGAAAGACTTTCCAATATGTTCCCTATAATTTACGCGTACAAACACATGAGTTTTGATGGATCATCTGAACTGTTTCCCAACAAAATAGAAACTCGCAAGTGCTATTTACCCAATAATTTTCCGTTAAAGCGTCGGTAAATATTTGCTCGGCATTGCTTTGCATCGCATCAACTGTTAGCGTTTTTGTGGATTCGGGCACATTTAAATCAACAAAATATAAAACAGGTATAGATAAATATCTGGAGATAAATATATTCCTAACCATCCTTGATAACACAAGGATGTTCCAGTTGCCTCAATAATAATTATTTTGTAGAGAGAACGATTTGAATAGAAAACGCCAGCTCATCGATCTGCTTGTTCATGATGTATCTTGCTGTGGTTGCCAATTTTGCAGGATAAATGCCAACTTTCATTAATCATCACGTTAATTATGCTCTATATTCACATCACTTTCAGTTTGCGTTGAAGAATATCATAATTTATTCAGGAAAGGAAAACAAGAAAAGTGTCGACCCCATTAAATATTTTATTTCTTCCATAAAACACATGTAATGTCACATTTAACAAATACTAGACACAACATCTTCATGTTAACAGGACATTAATTTATTTACAAAATACAATCTCTTTTACAACCGTTAGTATCGCAGGCAGCGTACCTAATAAAATCACAATTCAATTTTCGATTTTCTCGACTATAATTTCCACGAAGTGGGTTTCTTTCCTCTTTTCCACCATATTCCTGGATTGCTAGGTCTTCGTCAGCACGGTGACGTCTGTACTGGCCGTGTTGCAAAGCTGGTAATCCCCGGCTGTTAACAACTCGGACCTGGCCTTATACTGCACTCGTTGCGACGTTCTTTTGAAGGAGTTTTTTTTTAAACCTCCCTGGTCGCTGGATTCGATGCAGAGGATGTCCTTGAACTCCTTCCAGAAGTTCTCGTTCAGGCAGCCGTAGAGGATCGGGTTGGAGCAGGCCGAGGACATGCCCATCATGTGGCAAACAGCGTAACATATCTGAATGAAATTAATGAATTTGCATGGAATTTCTATTGGAAAAATCTTACCATCATCGGCTGGGAGGTGAAGGATTTGCTGGTGGAAAGATCGGCTATCAGATTGAAGAGGTTCAAAGGTAGCCAGCTGACGCAGAAGATAATGGCTATGGAGCCGAGGAGCACGTTGGTTTTGTGCAACCGCCTTCCTCTTAGTTCTCTGCGATTGGTTTGGTTATCCTCTCCACCGATGAAGCCGCTGGCGAAACGGTTGCGCAATTTGTACGAAATCCTCGCGTAAGAAGCCTGAAAAGTTTTACATAATCCTTAACCAATTATATCGGAAAATAATGTTAGTTGTGGATTTTCAACTGTGGTGTAGGAGTAGCCTATGACCTTCATTCAAAAACCTACTCAAATATTACACAAGGATGATTTTACAGCCACTTGTGTGGGCGATTTAATTAAATTGCATATTTTCATATATAGGAAGCGAATTGTGTAGAAGCAAAAATACCTTGAATTTAATTCTCTTTGAGCAAATATTTGGAGCTCGTTTGGGAATAAAAGGCTGTGAAAATTTGCTTCTAGCAAATATTTTTTGGCTACTAAGGAAATAATTTGCCCTCATCCACTTCTGTCTGTTTATTTAGTAAAGGAGAAAATTTAGGTCAGCTTTCTGAATAAGCGAGCTTATTTGCGATGGTTGGTTTCGAATAAAAAAACAGAAAACAAATAAGGTTCATAGGGGAATGGTAATAATTTCAAAAGGACTTGAAAATAATAAATCAACGCTACATTGAGGACGTTTATACTAAGATCATTCACTTACCGATACAATTATGATGGGGATTGAATATTGAAAAATAACAGAGAATATGGAGTAATAAGCTCGTCCGTGTTTAACAGGCCAATTTTCTATACAAAAGTTGATATCTAAATAATCATCTTCCAAAGGAATACTGTGATGTACCAGATGCCTTATAATAAATAAGGGTAAAGCCAACCCAATAGCCAACAACCAAATGAGCACAAGTATACCAATAGTTCCGCGTAATTGGAGACCTTCTTTAGTAGGATACATGATGACCTGCAACAAAAAAAATCCAAAATTTCCCCAAGTCAAACCAAATTGTTGTGTTATTCAATTAGGAATTGTTGCTAATTCGCATTGAACCATTACGCTTCGAATACTGCGAACTTATTGGGCGAGTACAAGTTACCAATTGTCCCAATTAGCAGCACAATTAAGCGCCGAACGTCGTTGGAAACAATCAAAAATTATGTTCCCGAAAATTCAAAGAGTTAAGCCATCCAAGAGGGCGTCAAGTTTAATTTGAATTTAGTTCCTTGCGTTTAGTAGCCGTAACTCCATCGCTCGTCGGGAACAAGCGGAGAATAAATTTTAATGAAAGTAACTTCTGATTTGGATCGAATAGAATTTCGCAAGTTGCGCTTGACCATAATTAATCTAGTTACCGGTTAAATTGAAATTATTTCTATTGGAAATCAGTACTTCTGATGGATTCGTATTGTGAATTCTACTATTCTCCCCCATAAGTTTGGTGATATATCAAGCGATAAAACACTATAACCAAATAAACACGAGTTTTACCTGGTATCTGTCCAAGGCTATAGCACTAATGGAAATTGTCGAAACGTATATACTTGTAGCTTGAAGTATCCCGATAAACTTGCATATAAACAAATTATTTCCGAGTGGGAAATATTTCGTGAGAATTTCCATTAGCGTCATGGGCATTGTTAAGGTGCATAGCAGGAAATCGGCAACTGCTAAATTGAATATGTACATGTTCCTGGGCGTTCTCATCGCAGCTTTTCTCAACACCGATGCTATCTGAAAATAAAAATTAATATTTCACCTCATTTGTGTTGTTTTTGCGTGGAAAACGAATTTGATGGTTAGGTTAAGTAAACATATATCTTTTATAAACCCCGTTTCAGCATAAAATTTAATCAAAATGTATCTTTTATTTTTCTCTAAATGTGAATTTTCTGTTATTGTTGCCTTGTGGTAATATTCAACTTTGCCAGAGGGTTACACGTAACGTTTAAAAATTGATTTTATCGCATTATTTGTTTAAAAAATGCCATAATTTCTAAATAAACAGAATGTCCTGTTAATTAAAAAGAAAGATAAACCTCCCTATATACTTGTAAAAACATTTATCTTACTGGGGAGAGCAAATTAAATGAACCAACGGTATAATGAATTCCAAAATATAAAAAAAATGTATGAAATTATTAAATCACATTTTTACCACAATAAGTTCTTATAAATCGAAATCTAAAGTAGCAAAGAATTTATTCTGCCCGAGAAATCCTATTGTAAACGGTATTTAACCAGAATCCGATGGCATACATTTGTTCCAGATGCTTTCACGGCTGGAATTTTCAAGCAGGGAATTTTTATTAGACCTCCAGGATTTTTTCGAAACGCATTTCCTTTCATACTGCAGGAACAATTGGTATATTCTTTTGATCGTGCGAATGCCTTATGCATCCGGTATTTTATCCTACAGCCTCCTACAGGTTTACACAGGGTTCGTGTGTATTTTTGACACATCTTATTTATTAAATTTGTGAATACTTTTCGAAATTACCGCTAACTTAACCATGTAGTCTGTTCCCTTATTTTATTCCCCCACATAGAGATTGCTTGATGTTACTCTTTTTCCTTCATAAAATATTTAAAGTGCCACTTACCTTTTCGTTACATCTTGTGCAAAGGTAGAGGGAGTTGGCCGTAAAATATAAATAAGTTGTGTAGCCTTATTAAATTAAAACTTACTACAAGGGTATTTCCTACAGCTCCAACGACTATCAAAATGCAATAAAGTACGATAAGTATGGTATAAGCTGGTTCGTCTATGTCCTGGTTTTTTAAATATCTATCCAATAATGATGTATCCAGGTAATCGCTGTAATTGGTAATTATGTTGTCCATATAACTAAAATTGCCGATGTTGAACGTAAAGTTATAATCCATTGTTGCCGACCTTCAGAATCTGAAATAAAAGTTTCCATGAAACTAGCGCTATAAAATTAAGAAGTTTTGCTGTTGAAGAGTTTTTCTGTTTTAGTTTGTTCTTGAACCTACTTCTGAATGTTCCACTTCGCCTCAAAAAACTCATTAATATTTTATTATTCAATTCAACTTCTCACCTTTCCTAGTTTTAAGTGTTACTGCACTCGAAATTTATCTTGGAAAAAGTTGTTAGCGTTCCTGCGGGATTAAAATCCGGAAGAAATCGGTTGCTATAATGTTTCGAAATTGCTTTAAAACTCCTAATAAAATGAAAACTGGCTTAGTAACTTGCTTTCTTTTTGAACGTGTGCCAATAAAGTGCTTCATTAGCACGCCTGGTGTACTTACTTGTACATTATGAGTAATTTAATTTAATATTTTTTCTGGAAATTATAATTAAAATTCACACCAACGTTCAATTTTAATACCGTGTAAATGTATACTGTATCTAAAAATATATATTTTTCTGATAAAAGGTATAGTTTCTACATCATTATGTATCTAAGTTAAAAATAAATTGAATGATAAAATTATCAAATCAGTTTATAGGTCTTCAAACACTTAGAACTTTTAGAGATGAAGTCTTGTCGATGTCTGTGTCGCAATTCACAGCCTTACATTAAAAAAATATTTCAGACAATTAGGTAAATATTGAGAATCTAGAAATTATCTAAATAAGAGTATCGATAAAAAACCAACCTACGGCAGTGCCAAAGATCAAACACCACTTCATTCTCATCGATCCTCAGAGAATATGCCTCTCACTAAATTCGAGATTTTATTGTAAATAAAATTCCGGTAGATTGTTCGAGCATTTCCCACATCTATTTTCGGGTACACGAGAAAACTCTTATTACCGATATAAAATAACTAGACTTTACACGCCCTGCTTTTAGGGAAGTGTCGCTGTAATTCGGTTATATATCATGATTCTTGAAACAATGAAATTCATTTTCAGTAGTACGAAATTCGTGGGGTAAAATAATTTTTCTTTCTATTTTATTTACGGGCTCGTTCGCTTTCATAATTAATCTAATCTGAGTTTTTTACGGTGGAGAGTTCGTTCCCAGGGGTATGATGTATAAAAAACGCATTTCCTAATTTTTTCTTACTTACCCTCCTAAACCAAATTATATACACCCTAACATAATTACCTAACTGCTACTTGTAATTTGATTTGATACATCAAATAAGAACTTAATACAAAGATATATTTTTAGCACAAAGCATTTATCGCAGACAGCACGATTAATACCTAGTTTATCATTATTGACAGTTATTAATGTGTAAAAGCTTAATTAAAGATGGAACTCAACTTTTCGATGTTTATTAGAGAGGTTTCTGCTAAACTTATTTGTTAATGTAGCAAATAAATAATTTAGTAATGAATATACTATTATACAAATCTCTTATTAGTCAATTATGTATATCTTTCGAGAAAATACTTCTTTTGAATATCCGGGAGGTTCAATAAAGGAGGAAATCCAACACAATAAGGATTGTTCTAATTCGATTCAAGCGAATTCCGAAATCGGTGTCTTGGATATAATTAAGGGGACGTGTTTGCTTTAATATCTTCTTGCGTTTCAACTCGAATCCTCAACAATAGATACCCATTAATTAGATCTTTAGTAAATTTGAATAAGTCTTCACACAAGATAATTGGTACATTAGCATTCAAAATTCTTTTTTACAAAGCTTTTACAAGCGATTCCGCATTTTTTAGGCGCTCATTAGAATGCAATCAAGCTCTATTTCCACTAATGAAGACTTTTCGTCGCGATTAACATACTGCCCCGCGGAATAAGTAATTGAACATTTACACGGAAAGGGTCGTTCGAAAGCCATTCACCCTTTTCTGTCACCGCTCGTCCTATTTCCGCCGGTGAAGCGCTCCAATCCGTCGCACTATCTAAAACATTTCGGGCTCCAATTATTGCCGACGCCACTTGTTAACAACAATGCCTTTCGATTAACCCGACCCGATAGATTCGCCACTTGTGCGCTTCGAAAGCACCGACTAATTGCAGCTGCGGTTTTAAATTCACCTATATGCTCGTTATACGGTTTTCCGTTCGAACCGAAATTCAGAGCAAAGTATTTAACGAAAATGCCCATACAGGTCTGTAACATGTGTTTCCAGAGGTGTGAAATGTTTTCATTAAAGGATTACTTCCAATAGGGCCCTTTATGGGAGCAATAAATAGGCTTATCTTCGATATGTGCTCTGTATAAAAACGTATCGTAAATCTCGTCTCAAGGCTTTATTGGCCTGTTAAATCGATGGTCCTTTCACCGGCTATTGAATGTAATATACACATACACTTGATGAAAGCAATTTTCCGGAAAACGCGAAATCAGGAGTTCGAGTTTTTAAAAGATACCGCTCGTATTTTATACTAAAGGTTGTTTTTCTCGGAGAGGAAAAAAACGGGTCTGAAGGATAACGGCGAGTTGATATAATAAATAATAAATTTATTGGGAGTTTTTCTCGATTCCTTCTTCTTTTTGAGTGATCACAATGTGATACAGGACAGCGAACGGGCTATTTAATGCATTATATTTATGGCAAATTGTTCTCATATCATTCTGAATGTATTATGCTTACATTTAATGCCTGTATTGGTTTACAATATGAATACCTACAGGAGGATTAAATGAATTAAACAAGGATTATGCAAGTCATTGGTTGAATATGTATTTAAATAAATCATTTCAATTTCATCCACTGAATTGAAACTATTGTTTGAGTTTAAATTAGATCAATCAAATATAATTACGTTGTACATACAGGATGCTCACAAGGTAGCTCATATTAATTTTATTTTAGCAAAAGTTTTCTCAGAGAGGAAATAGAACCTCTTAGAAGAAATTTCTCTTGGAGACGGTAAATGTCGAGTAGAGTCAATCGACTAAATAATAACTGAATGGAAACTCGTTTACAAAGTTTCAGTTGCACCGAAGTGGCAAAATCCAGAGAATTCAATTACGGGATTCCCCAGGGTGTTGGGATTAATTTACAACACCACCTAATTGATTCTCAATTTCAAGCACAAGTGTTATGGTATAATGGAAGTGATAAGTAGTAAAAACTGCATTAAAATTAACAGGGTAGTATAAAGAAAAATAAAATAAAATTCATCAAATTTTTAACAAGAGTTTTATCGAATTATATCCAAAGTTCAGTAGAAATGCCTATGTATTCGTTTATTTTCCAAGCTCGATAACAAAAGCGTTAAAATTTCAATTTCCGAAGCGGTTATTCCGTGCCTAAATTTTAAATGAATTCTAATTACCGGTCGGATACAGAATACGCGCCTAGTCTTAATTGAATTTAATGAATCGATTTTTTCGACATGGTTTAATTAATTTTTTGCAAAACGTTTGTGTTAGCTTAAAGTACCTACATAAGTCAGTTCCTACTACTTAATTTATATTTGCAAAATATATTTGTAGTTGTAATTAATTCCATGTCCTACAAGAAACTCCATTTACCCTTCTCAAATGCGACTGAAGGATAGCAAGATTAACAAAGCGACCTGTGGAATTCGAGAATTCATCGCAAATTCCACTGCCATCATAATTAAAGTTTTTCTGTATTGTCAAATATTTGTTTAACAAATTGAATTCTGAAATTTCAGCCAAGTTTTTCCGGGAAACTAGCGATTAATTTACTCGTTAACAAGACACTCTTCCAAATGGATCTTTTGAATTTATTTTCCGAATAATCCCGAGTTTTAGTCGTTATAAATGATATACCATTATTTCGTTCTCTTAATAACTAGTTTTTTAGCAATTCTCGCAAACTTCATTATTCTTTATCCTTTTACAAAACTAATTAATATCTCGCCTTGAATTTTAAAACTCATAGCAGAAAGCTCTGGGATCTTTTGTAATAAAAATACTAATGTATCAATAGTGAAGGAAATTTGGGTTAAATTCGCAACTAATAAAAATTCTTTCCGGAAAATTTGTCTGCTGTGTCAATAAATAACTTCTCGGGAATGACGTACAAAAAGACCGGGCATAAAAAACAAGAACATAAAACCGAAACTTACTAGCTTTTGACGATCATCAAGCCGATTTTCTCTCTACGAAATCGTTGGAAGATTTATTTTTTCGCCAAAATGCCCAAGGTAATTTAATTAAGTTATGGGTGCTAAATTAAAATCTAGCGAGCATTAAATTTTATGTTCTCACTAAGTAAAAAATAATCTGATGTTTTCCTTATCTTCGCGAAATGCCCGCGAGATTGGGTTTCTGTGTATAATTAAATTTTGCTAAGAGACGCTGTTCGTTGGATTAAGAAAAAAAGTTTCGAATTTCTTCGAAGGCGCCGGTGAAAATCATGAGTAATTTAAAACAATTTTCTAACCAAGGAAATGCGTTAGAAGTATAAAAAAATAAATGCGAAAGGAATTCCAGTGTTTCCTTGAATCTCGGACAATTTACGGGATTTTCACTCGGTTTATTTAACAGAACTAATTTATTAGACAATTAAAATTCTTACTTGATGCCATAATATTTTATAAATATTTATCCAATTTTTTTTAATAAATGTCACATATGTTTAAATCTTTATTATTTCCCAATAATTATTTATTTTATGTAGCAATAAATTTAAAGTAAATCACATCTACGACCATTTATTCAACTATTAATTTTTTACGAAAAAAAATATATAATTACCTATCATAAAAAATTCTAAACCCCCTCACTTTGAAGAAAATCGAATGAACCATCACATTGAATCGCGGAAAATTCGGAAAATTTTATGTGCCCACGAGCTTTTCGAACGCGCGCGGAGCGTAAACAGTTCGCTGACTATCCACTCTTCCAGTGGATGTGCCCGGCAGGTTTCCCAATTGCAACTGTTCGATCCGACGATGCGTCCCTTCTTCCTATATATTTTCCCGAAACTGTTCAAGCGCAATAATTCAAACATCATCACCTCCTCAATCACGCAACACGCAAACGAGCCCAGTATCATTTTTTCATTATTTTTGTATACATAAAAATGTCGCATTATTTTAAAAACGAGTAAGGGAGTATGTTTTTAATTTTCAGGCGCAGAGAACATTTTATTTTTTCTATAAACTTCCTTAAGTGTTTAATTGGACAGGCGAATTTAACTGATTTTCAATTTTGAGCTCGGAATTCTTTAGGATCGCTTTCGTGAAAAGTGAAGTAAATTTAAGAAAATCCTGTTTTTGGGGCAATTATATCAGAATTCAGCTATATTCCGGTCGCTATAAAAAGTCGATTTTCGGATGCGGCGTGGTTGTTTACGTAGGATTCGGCATTTTTCGTAAAAAGAACAGTGAATTTTAGCCGTAAAAAAACTCCAATCAGTGAATCACACAATGCTTGCAGCTTTAGCAGCTTTTTCCATTAGATCCACTGCAGCTGCGGCATCTGCTTATTTAACTTCGAAACCATTAATGGTTCAAAGGAGAAACAGCTCACAGAAAATACATAAACAAGAAGGGACATCTCCGTGAGAATCTCGTAGACCTTCTAGAGCGCACTCTGAGAAGGGTAGTTGTACTAAATTAATTGTTGCCTTGTAAAAGGGGATATCATAAAATTAGTAATAATTAGTTTTCTATTCTAATTTTTTTCTAGCTGTTAATATTATCCAATTAGACTCTTTGTAATTTTCTATAAAACCCATATTTTTGGAGACAAATCTCAATTTTTGGCATTTATACAATTTTCAGCAAAGTTTGGAACATTTTTAACGTTATTAATAATAAGATTAATTTCATAGCACCTTTTTCAGATGCAGTTATTTCAACAAAAATCTCTATTAGTCAATATACCTACTGGTAGAAAATGCTAAAGTAAAAAATATATTTCAGTAATTTAAAGAAACTCTTAAATATGGTATTCATTATGATTAGTAAATAAATTTTTGATAAAAGTAACTTAATCTGTTAAAAAGGTGCTAAAGATAAATTGCTTTAAATTAATTTCGTTTAACAATATTAAACTTGATCAGTTTCAACATTGGACTCAGTTTAAACAAAGTTGGTAGTCATTCATAACCCGTTCAAAGAAGAATTTCAAAATTCGCGCCAATTGATCGGTACCGCCATCTATTGAGACTACTATTAACAATTGATAGATTGCTATTTATTTTCTTCTTTTTTAAACAAATGATGTGCAACTACAACAGATGACTCTGAGGATAGGGATTCAGAAATATCAGAACAAGAGTATATTTTTTACTGTAGAAAGTGGCCCATCTATTTGTCTATGCATAAGAGTTACGATTCAGTGGCTTGTGTATTATTCTGTTTCTCTCCGACTGGACATTGGCCTTTCGGGTTCGGTTTAAATACAATGCAAAAAACGATTATTCCAAAAACGATTATTGCAACGATTATATATAAAAGAATACAGCAGATTGAAGTAGAAGAAGCCGGATCATGAGCCACGTTAGAATCACTCTCCACGTTAGAATCACACTTTTCCGCATTTCCCAACAAGCTTTTGAAATTCTCCACCGGTTTACCCAATCCATCTCCGTCAAAAACGAATCCAAGAGTAGAATTCTGGAATAATTTATGTATATCAAATCATAAAAAAAACATACAATTTATAACTTACAGGAAAGAGCAGATCGGGAACGTTGTCGAATTCCTGGAACACTTTGAAAATTTTCCTGGGACTTTGCCCGAATTCCAAATCGATTCCTTTCAGAAGCTGTATGATGTTCGATCGTTTCACCGTGTTGTTTTTCACTACTATTTCCCCGGTGGTAATTTTAGTGAGAGCGCAATCGGAATCGGCCAATAAACCCTTATTTTTAGCCATAGATCCGTTACGACAAAAGACTTGAAAACTGTCCGTTTTATCTTTAAACTGCTCGATATCTGGAAATAATTAAACACGAATTAATTAATCAGACAGATAACGGAACAATAGGAAATCTATTGCGCAAGGACGTTCAACCCTGTATCGCGATTAATTCTAATGCAATTTTCGGTTTACCCGATATTGTAACAACGGCAAAATCAGCAGCATTATCTTCAAGGCACTTCAACGCACCATCCGTTGTGTAATACTTGTTTTGCTGGTCGTTATTGCATGTTTTTGGGGCTAAAAATAACATAAATTTAGTTGTTATCAGTACAGTTGACTATTGTTACAGAGTCAAAAGCTGAAGCAAATGCAGATCTAGACATGTCTTCGGCTTGTGTCCGTAACATATAGACTGAGCTACAGATAGAGACTGCAGCTTTTCTGTGTAAAGTACTTACGTCCGAAAACATTATTCGTCAGGCATTGCGCGCACAGCTTCTCAGCGTTCTTAACGTCGAAATACTTATTTTTAGCGCCGGGCACGCAGCTATCGCCTACGTACTCCTCGAAGTCTTCGTGTAAATCGCACGACTTCGACGTGTGGTTGTTCGATTTCAACAGGTCGATGAACGCCAGCCACTCTAAAAACATTATCGATACGAAGTGATATTACTTTGGGGTTTACCAACGACTTCTTTCCCTTCAAATTGACGACGTTCGTAACAGCTCGAACTGCTACAACTATGGCAGCTAGGTCTTTATTGTAGGTTTCTGGATAGGCGGCGTACGTTAAACCAGACCTTAAAATATATCGGTATAGAGCCGACATTTGTGTAACTATTCCATAATTCCAGGTGGTGGAAAGACGAGCATCTCCTCCAAAATGCTATTAAAGAAGCAAGCTCGTATCTCCACCTGGATTTATTCTAAGAGCTCTTTCAGACGTGGATACCGCATCGTATCATCAATTTAACACTGAGGTATCTGAAAGAGCTCTTAAGGTTTAATGCGTTTACCTCGAAGCACTGTAACCGTAGTCGACGTCGATGAAGGCCACATCAGACTTTCCGTTTTTTATATCATTAATGCAAGATATGGGGTCTTTGTCTTTGGTTTGTGCGCAATGAATGACGGGTTGTAGGCCCGCGTTCAGGGCGGCTTGTTGCATCCAAAGGCACTTTTCTTGTTCCTTCGTATCGACAGTGCACCAGTTCACTGTCTCCTCGCAATAGGTGTTCTTCGATATGCTTGGAATGTTCCTCCGATCTGAGTGTTTGTAGAATTAATAAGTCGAATAGGCGATTTTTTTAAGGACTTACTAGATACATATGCTTTTAGTGGTATTGCTTGTATAGTGGTTATGGCATCTGCATCGCTCAATTCTAGGAGAACTTCTAGAGAATCTTCAAATGGCAGAGAAGTGCGCGATTGTCTGACGAAACCATTAAGCGATTTATGTTTGGCCAAGTTTAAATTCAAGTAGTTTTGAGTCTTTTCCACTATAGACCTAAATGTATATAGTAGTAATGATCATTACGCATAACACAACATCCGTTTACCGACCGTTCGGATATAACGATCCTTTCCATTTGTTCGGTGAACGTGCAATGACCGTCTCGGGGTTTTTTCGGCCGTCCATCGGGACACACGTAAACGAAATCATCGATATTGTTCGAATCGTTGAAGAATTTCAAGGCATGCGAAAGACTGGTAACAGCCACGTCACCGCCATTTCTAAGGCACGTCAGGGCGTCTTGGAAAGGCTCTTGATAGATCACATTGCACTTCTCCGGACCGCATAGTTCGCAAAGATTTGAATAACTCTTTTCTTAAAAAAAGTAAATGCGAGAACGGGACTGTTCCAAAGTCTTCACAATATACTCACTTAAGGCGGCGTCTAGAGCGGGATCGTCGATAACCCATTCCCCGGGGCGGCAAGAGGGCCCGAAGAAGCTGGATAGCGCGCCCAATCGCTTCTCTAAGAGCGTTTGAGCGGCGCTCTGGCAGTAGCTATTGTTCAGTTCGATTATCTTCGCTTCGAACTCCTGCAGGACGTACCTGGTGATAAGTTCGTCGTGCTTGAAGCCCGGATGGCAGAAGCGCTTGTTCCTCAAGTCCTTGAAGGAGTTGTAGAATATCCGCGCTAAAACCACCGTTCGGTAAGGTCGTTTCTCTGGAAGAATATATGGTGAATGGCAGGAAACCATAGTAATTACTTTTCGAGGTATTTATTAAATATCTTACCCGTGGTTACCTCAGCAACAACAGTCACGTTATCAGACGCGAAACTCGCCGCTAAGAAAGCTTGTTCGGGTTGTAGAATCGCAAATTCTTGCTTTTCATTAATAATATTCAAAGCACAATCGGTCCTAAAAACATAATACGATTTCGTAAATTCGCAGTAAAAATGATTCATTGATAAGAAATCAGAGGTGTTTTCGGGAAGGAAAAATTGACTTGTGGAAACAGGTCAATTTTTATATGGAGGGGGACATCTTTTGATGTATAAACCATCATCATATTATTTCACCCCTTTACCCTTTGCCTAGCAACCCCAACCATTAAAAATTGAATAGAGAATACGGGTCGTACAATAATACATCATTAAAAAAATATTTGTTTCTGAAAACAACAAAAAAATATTAAAATCCGTCAATTCGTTTTTGAAATGGCTTCCAGATTGATGTAAGTCAGCCAACGGCATCAAATGTGGTACATCTTTGTAAGCCAAAAAATATTGAAAAATATCATACTTGGATAAAGTTTCCTCATATATGGTTGTTTTTCCTTTATTATTTAAAATGCTATTTAATTAATTATCTCTGACATTATTATCCTCTGATACTTTACTAATAATAGATATAATAGATAATAGATAACTGATTAAAAAAAATACTGATTTTTATTAATACCACACCCAATTGCACAATAACGATGCATTTGCTTATCTCAAGGTTAATTATTATGTATTCCAGTTTCGTTATGTATCCGGTATAAATCTGGTAGTTTTTCGAATTAAATTTTAAAATATTAATAGGCTTACATTGAATTAACATTTTCGGCGCATTCGAAGGTCTGGTCTAGTTCTATGTTGTCGCAGGCATCTTTGTTGGATATGTCCGTGCATAGTTTCCCTAGTAAAATAAAAAAATATACTATTTAGCGTACAATTGACAGTAAATGTATAAATGTTGCAATATTGAAGTACCTAAACTAGTTATACTGTGGAATAATACTAGATTTTTTCACCATCGATGTTAGTCTTGAACAAGGGCACAACGGGGACCTATTAATTCGATTACAGAAGCTAATAACTATACATATTAACTATATTTATTCTGTGTTACTACCGTCAAAATGCGTTCAGAATTTGAAACATTTTAACTTCTCTTCAGTTTTTGACCTTACTCTTATAATTATTTTTCGGAATACCTATTTTTAGGAGTTGTAATAAATAATACCTATTTTTTTCTTCTAAGACTCTTTATTGTATCAATAATTGACTCTTACATGTAAATAATCTAATAAAAAAATAACTCGCTAAACTCACCTGGATGATTGTCAAAATCCGCAACTACTATTGCTAGAGTAAGCAATATTAGCAATAAGAAAGGATGTATCATCTTTGATTCTTTAATAGCCAATGGCTTTCGTTGGAGCATTGGTAGACTAGATATACATATTTATACAAAGTACCTACTACTTTATAGATATTGAACAAATAATCTTAATTATCTCAATTATTTCTAAGAATTTAGTGCCTACTATTTTGTGGATGATGTGGAATGTAGTCACGGTTTGTAGAATAACATTAGAAATGTAGAATACATGTAGAAAACATATAGAATAACATTCTATGTTATTACGTTATCTAAAGGGTGTTTCAATAAGAGCGCAAGATTTTAAGGTTCTCAGAGTATCTATGTTCGAGCGCTGCAAACAGTAGAAAGAGAGAATCAGTCGAACTGTGGAGAGGCGCGGCTTCGGCGCGATGAATCGGCGGTCGAATGTAGCGCTCGACTTTAGACACAGTGTATATGAAACAAAATATCTTGTAAATGGCCCACGGCTTTGCTGGCATAAGCGTACTCTTTTGATAAAATTTTCAATAGCATTATTGTATACAGGGTGGCCCAGAACTCACGCCCCACCGGGAAATCCCTTATGGAAACGACAATGGAGATGCCAAATCTGCAGTCAAAGGCAGGAAAAAGTTATTCCTTTAGTAAATAAAGAGGTTCAAAATCGGCCAACACCAGTAGGAGTTCACAAATGCGAAAATGACGTGAATTAGCTATACACCAATTAGACATACGTATATGCTCCATTACACCGTCTCGCTAATCATCAAGGTAATTTATGTCTTATATTAAAATAATATATAAAATAAATATTTTAATATATGGAAAATATATGTTTTTTAGTTATTATTCCTGCCCATTGCCTCTATTTTTATAATCTTTTGCCCTGTAATTATGATTAAAAACATTATTTCCATTACTTGAGATGCTCGGAATTTGCCACTAGAATACTTGGGATGTCACGAGAGGCCGTGCGTGATTGGCTAAAAAAATGTATGCAACCAACTTTACCATAAGAATCATTTTCGCTATTCCCTAGCGACAATTCGATGAAGTATTTTCTAAATTGCAGACGATGCACACAGTTTGTAGAGTTATTCTAGAAACCGTGGACCACAGATTACCATATACTGCCGTGGACGATGCAGACCATAGAAAAGAAAAAAAATTATTTTGCTTTTGCCTAGGATGTAAATTTTATTACGGAATATAAAGCTCAAAAAATGTAGGGTAGGTAGGGTAGGGTCCACGGTTTCTAGAATAACATTTATTCTATAGGTAGGGTCTATCTTATTTTCATTGCTACCAATTCGATATTGGGTTACCAAAACTCAACGCCCCTCTTAAAAACCTTCTCAATGTTTTGTGTTTGGTACTGTTTATTAATTATCTAACAAAAAACTAGTTTTTTTGAAAGCAACTTAAAAATCTGCCTCTTCTTCTTCGGATTTGGGCACAATATGCCTAAATATGACATTTGACATTGAACAGATTGAAACTGTCATTACCGTCAATGTTTACGTGCGATTAATTAAAGATGGCGGAAAAGACTGTGTGTGTAATTCAACAACAAACTCGACCTATAAATGTGGTTAAGTTGAAAGTGAAGATTGGGACAACAGTTTCGATCGGTTATCCATTGTTAGTTTACAATTCGGGAGATTCCAAAAATGAAGAACGGAAGCTCAAATCGACGCACGCGGGAACTGTGCACAGGATTTTGGTTAAGGAGGGCCAGGTTGTCCAACCGGGGTAAATGAAATTTACTTATTTAAATCATGGCGCCAAAAAACCGTTTGAATTCATTCATGAAAAACGAGCAGCATTGTGAGTTTCTCGTTCATTAAAATAAAACGTTCGTTTCAGTGAAGTTCTCGTGAAACTTACAGCATGTTCTCACCCGACTATTATGAACGATATGTGCGCAGAATGCGGGGCGGATTTAAGGAAAAACGACGACATAAGCACCGCTTCCGTACCGATGATTCACGCCATTCCCGACCTAAAAGTTAGCGAAGAATTAGCACAAAAGCTAGGGAGAGCCGATAACGAACGGTTACTGAAAGACCGTAAATTAGTGCTGCTCGTAGACTTGGATCAAACCCTTATACACACGACTAACGACAACATCCCTCCCAACATCAAAGACGTGTACCATTTTCAACTGCACGGGCCGAACTCGCCGTGGTACCACACAAGGCTCAGGCCAGGCACTCACAAGTTCTTAACCAGCATACATGATTTCTACGAGCTTCACATTTGCACGTTCGGAGCGAGAAACTACGCTCATACTATAGCCAGTTTTTTAGATGCCGACCAGAATTTCTTCTCGAACAGGATTCTATCGAGGGACGAGTGCTTCGATCCCACCAGCAAGAAAGCCAACTTGAGGTACACCGTAACTACATAAATTAAACGAAAATAATCATTTCTATACTTTCTAGTGCTCTCTTTCCTTGTGGGGATAATATGGTGTGTATCATAGACGACAGGGAAGATGTGTGGTCGCACGCCTCGAACCTCATCCACGTAAAACCCTATCATTTCTTCCAACACACCGGAGACATCAACGCTCCCCCGGAAATGGACAAGCACGAAAGCGACCAGCTAGAAAAAGGCGTCGATCTAACAAACATCAGCAACAAACTCGCAGAAGTAGAAACAGACAAAGATCAGACGGAAGAAAGCTCAGAGAAAAGCGATGATAAAGAAAACAAAGAAACCGAATCGGCTCTTAACAACGGCGACAAATCCAGCGAAAATGAAGACGATAAACCTACAGAAAGTTGTGAAAAGGTACTAATTCTACAGATAATTAATTAATACTCCCTTAACTAATGCTATTGATATTACAGAATGTGAACGAAACTAGTGAGATTATTACGAATCACGACGCCGCTGTGAATATAGTGAATGAATCAAAAAACGATAGTACAAAAGAAGGCTTGAAAAGCCCCGACGACGATCTCATTGAGATCGAAGACGAAGACGATTACTTGATCTACCTCGAGGAAATACTGAAGCAAATTCACGGCGAATTTTTCAGAGAGTACGACAAATTGGAGTCGGGCGAAGTGCCCGATCTCAAGCAAGTCATTCCGAGGGTTCGGGGCAGCGTGTTGCTCGGCTGCAATTTAGTCTTCAGCGGGCTGGTGCCCAACCATTTGAAACTGGAGCAATCGAAGGCGTTCCAAGTGGCCAGAGGCCTGGGGGCGAACGTGACGCAGAACATCGGCGACGATACGACGCATTTGGTGGCGGTCAGACCAGGTAGAATGGCTTATTTATTTAACGACTCGCTGTTAATTTGTATTCGGTGTTGTTCGACAGGTACGGCTAAAGTGAACTACGGCAGGAGGAAAAAGAAGCTGAAAATCGTGACGCCCGATTGGCTGTGGTGCTGCGCCGAACGGTGGGAGCACGCCGACGAGAGGATATTCCCTTTGAACAGCAAAGGATCGAAGAACCGGCACCCCCCGCCGCATTGCAGCAGTCCCCAGCATACCATCAGTTACCCGGAACACGGGTTGCCGGAGATGAGGAAAAGGACACCCAGCGGAAAGTTTATGGATACCATTAATCCTCTAATGTCTTTTTCCAGCGATGATATAGCAGATATGGACAAAGAGGTAATTAAACTCACTACTAATTTAAATCCTACTAATTAAATTTTGTGTATTAAAGGTTGAAGATATCCTGGACGATGACAGTGATAGCAGCGACGAGGAAACTTCCAAAAAAGACGCCCCCAATCGCACCGAAATTGCAGCAGACGTTACTACTAATAATGTAAATGATAGCAGCAGTAGCAGCAGCGTCGAGTCCCTTTCGGCCGAGTTCCCCAGGGGGCACAAGAGGAGGAAATTCGACGGGTTTGACGACGAAGAGGGTCTTCAAGAGCACAACGGCAGCGATGGGGATGACGAATCGCCCAGTGAAAAGTTCAGGAGAGGAGAAATAGTGAATATATTGGACTATGAGCAAGACGATACCCAGGATAGCGTTGATCCTCCTGATGAAGTGGACGATGGGGAGTGGAATATGATGGGTGCAGCCCTCGAACGAGAGTTTTTATCAAATGATTGAACGTTTTTTACGATATTTTTTTTTGTATGATTTAGTAAGTTATTTTTACTTTATACATGACATGTTTGCGTAAATTTTGTTGTATGAAGTACCCGGACGAAATGATCTATTTTTTTAATGCGCTGGGGTCGTTTTAATATTACTGATTACTTCATATTGCAAGCATCAACTACAGTCCTCATAGCATTGTATTTAATAATTTTATGAATAATTGTTGATATGAACCATTTTTCGATGTTCTTATAAATAATTTAATGTTAAATATTGAAAAGTTGGAAGTTTTTTTGGGGATTTTGAACCGATGTAAATATTTTGTTTGTAGAATAAATTGAAGTTATACAATTAATTTGGCTGGATGAAGACTTCCCGATTTAAATTTCGGTTCAAACTCCTCGTTCTAGTCTTTTATTTAACGAAAATCGGAAAACTCGATTGTCATTATTGGAAATACTTGTAGACCTTTTAAATCAAATTGATGACAAAAATAAAATTTAATGACATTTATTATGACCATTGGTTTATAACATTATTGCTAAATTCTAATTATTCTACGTTAATTTATTACAATAGCTCATACTTCAGTAGGATCATTTCTACCATCATCGTGATATTTAGTACGAATGTCTACGTGAGTGAAATCTTTCTTATTTTCCTGCCATCCTCTTCTTGGAGCTTTCGCATACCTAAATGCTCCCTCATTTTCTCCGTAGAGTCTATTTATATCATCAATGTCCTCTCTAAATTTACTCGAGACGATCTTTTTGTTAGTAACCGGATCTGTTAGGTCTCCCAATGGATATAACACTTCTTTAACTTTGTGGGTTATGAGCCTAGTTAACTTCTGAGGTAAGCATTCGATGATAACCATGTCGCCTGTCTTGCAAATTTTCTCGGGGTCGTGGGCATAAACCACTTCGTGCTTAGGAAAGAACTGGAATTGAATATACGATTAAATTAGAATGTTCCTTCGAATTTTATACATAATCATCGTAAGTAGGATTACTAAAAAAGAGTTACCATGTTTAAATTAGTATCCAATTCCAACCGCCTTATTTTGAATTTCGAAGCACCTTGCTTGATGCAAGGAATGCATTGCCCTAGCAACATTTGAGCCTTGGTTGCTGGAGGTAATAGCATTTTCGGTGTTTAAAAAGAAAATTAAATATTTTATTCCAATTAATTGAATTGAGGTTATGTCCCATTTGACACATGACATCAGTAAAAGTCATTATTCTTTCAGATGCAGTCTTATCTTATTATAGTCATTAGCCACCTTAAAAAAATAACTTTAAATTAAACCCCTTATTTATTTGTTTTATTGCATGTTTGCGAATTTAGTGTCAATTACAAACTTTTTTCGATTAAAATTAAATTAATTATTAGTAGTCAAAAATTTTTAGACCAATTAGTACATCAGTCTGGTCATAGATGGCAGTAAGTCGAAATTGACATTTCAGCTGTCAACGCGACAAACGTCATTAGCCATTCTAACCAAGAAGAAGACAGCTGTGAGGGTTCGGGCAGGCGCTTTTCGTGTTGTCAATATGTGTAAATATCTATGTTTATAAATTTCGTATTCAAATTTCGCGTCTCCCGTGCAATTAAAATACCCCATTATGAATTACCGAGTCGTCGTACCGCATTAGTTAAGCGATCTGTTGTGTTTTCGCCTGTGAACGGATCGAGTTGGTTCATAAACTACTAATAATAACACCCGTTCAATTATTCACATTTTGTTATTCCCTGCTGACGGTGAGTGAACTTTCATTTATTAATCCTCATAGATTACGGATGAGAATTGTAGGTCTTGTTAGTCGCTTTGATTTGAGTCGAGTTGTTTTCGTTTGGAATTTCTACAAGTTCCATTTATTTTTTTGGTGTTGTTGCGTGCATTTCATTCCAGAATTATCAATATATGAGAGGATTTATACATAGAGGTATTTATTTTTACACTAGTTCAATCGTTCCGTTAATTATAAATTAATTCAGAATCTGGGAAATTTCATTTATTCTACAGTAAACAATTATTAATTACACATCGCCTCTTATTTAATAAATAGTTGTCATTACTATCAGCTATTTGAGATTCTTGTAATTGAATGATTTTTTTTGTCTATTTAAAATGCTATATTATAACATATATATTTCATCCCCGCACGCACGCATCAAACGATCCACCTGGAAATAAGGTTAAAAGAAAATCGAGCCGAATGAAAATGGCTTTGTCGGGAAACGCCATCGATACATTCGATGCTAATTCGAAATTCGTTAAAGCCGCAGTAGCGACGTCGAGGGATAATAGCCCTCCCGCATTATGTGACTAAATTTATGCGAAATTCAATCGAACGCCACGTATTTTTTCCCATATATCACTCGGATTTTTATAACGAAATATATCAATTTTTACAGCGCCTGCATTTTTAACGAAGCTCTGCATTCACCGATGCTTCTACAAGCAAATATATACACACCGAGCCCTGCCCAGTTTCCTGTCCATCGACCTATCCACAAGCAACTTTTCCACACTCAAACAAACTTAATATTATTTTTGAATACCTTTATTATAAGTAGAATTAATTACCCGGTATAGGCACTTTGAAGATTTACAGGCATAGGCGTTGTCGTCATTCATTAGAGCAGAATTGCGGTCTATTAAGGAGGTCTAACGTGCTCGACGGATTAACAACCCGCGGATGCGATCCGATAATCAATATTAACCCTCTCGGTTTCGCACATGTCTCTACCTTGCACAAACACCTGTTATTTGCATTATTATTGTATTGCACGCTCCATGCGGTGCATATCGTGTCTGCCGTTTTGGCGGATAATGTTCATTCCCGGATGCCGTACGTTCGTTATTTACTTAGATGGTACGAGAACATCAAAATTGTACCTTAATTGCAGCCGGAGGTATTAGTTAGAAGCTGGAGAATAAGCGAATGTTTAAAATCTCACAAATGGTATCTAATATTAGATTTTCTGGTTTCAATTTACGGTCGTATACACTCAGTTCGAACGCTCACTTTTTGCCTAATAATTCGATAGAGTTCGCTGAGAGCACTAAAAACCAGACGAAGTTGTAACTTAATTGCCATTAAACGTTATTAATGAGAGCGGGAGAATTGGAGTTCGTTAAAAAAATAAATAATGAAAGTTTCGATTTTTCCGCGCAACCGAATCGACAATTTAAAAATTTAATTTCCAGCGAAGGACGAGAATTTCCATTCGTTAAAAGTCCTTTGAAAAAAGAAATTCATACGCGGGGCCCGTCCAGCTTTTTCGCTTGTTTCCCCGGCGAAGTACTTTCACTTTTCGCCGGAATTAATCTAGCCTAACCAAACAAATTTTACTGATTGTTCTCCCTTAAATGCATTAGGCACGAGGGGGTCCCTTCGAGAAAAGGAAAGCCCTGCGCCGGGTCGCCCTACTCTTTGAACTTAAGAATTTTCACCGGTTAACTTCGGTCGCTTTGATCGTTCGACCCTAAAAGTACTTGATGGTTTCTTTTGCGAACTGTATGCCGGAGGTATTTAATGAAAATCTCTATCTATACTGAAGAAACGAGTAGATAACTTTCCTATTTCCCTTCTTATAGGCAATTTTCGGTGTTCTACTCGCGCGGATTTTGCAATTTTCGTCTTCTAACAACGCTACTCTGCTATATACGTTTTCTCGCAAACAAGGCTATATTTGTTTTTGAAGCGAAAGAAAAGCAAGACATTAAATATTCAATCTGACCCCTTGCATCGGCTTTTCTCCGGCTCTCGAGTATATTATGCGATATATCTGATGCCGCGGCGTGTTGTTTGTTCCCTTTTACCATGGAACATTGTAAATATTAAACGAAATAAGGGCTCCGAGAGTCAACTCGCCCGTTTTTCTAATAAAATCCCCTATACTTGGGCGTCAAGTCAATCGGAAAATGTAGCTTCTATCGCTCGAGATCGGATTTTATAATATTCCTAGATGAATCTACGCGCAACAAAATTGGGTTTTCATAAGCCGTAGTTTCTGTTTTTCTATTTGATTAAATAGAAGAATTTCGACTGATCATAAATCGAGGTGGTTTTTAATGAATAATTCATTCCATCGCTGACCATCATAGCGGAAATGGACGCAAAGACGGCTCCTTATTTACGACTGCCGGTTATGAGATGAACGTTTTAAATGAGATAGAATTTTAAATATTAAAAAGCCCGGAACGGCGAATTCATATGGCGCTGCTCGCTAACATATATAAGATTTTCCGGGATATTACTGCGCTTATGAGTGCAAACATAATAATAAGTTTCTTAATAATGAAAACAGTGTATTTGTGGCTACAATGATTACAACCCAGGGCTGGACTAAAAAAAATACTATATAAACTCCCTACAGACCCAAAATTACTGGTATAATTAAAGAGGAAAGTAGACAATCCTTAAGGGATATGCGTACACCCGTCTTTTCACTCTCTTTTGTAAACAATGATAAAGTGGTTTCATCGAAGTTCGACAACAATAGCCAATGTAAACTTGCAAGGGAGAAACTCAATTTTATTTACTTCTATCGCTGCGTTATCGATTTTGTTGCATAGGTTTCGCAAAAACGAGGAATACACGTTGTTTATTCCATCATCATCTTATCTCGAAATAATATCCATTACGTAAACGGCCATCTCGCGGGCCGTCTATAAAAGAGAAAAATTACGGCGACTCAGAAATTCTATTAAGAGTCGCGGAGCCGCAGCGATTACGATCCCGCCCTCGTAAATAAATTAGAAAAAATAGCGGATTGTCCTCTCCCGAAAATTTTACTTTCGCCCGACGTCGAGGAGCGCCCGACGAGGACGAGGGCGCCGCGACGGGGGCGAGAGAGAGAAAGAAAAGCCGCAATGTAACTACGGACTCTTTCATGAATGGCTGTTACAGTTCAGATCAATAGTGGAGAGGTCCGGAGGCGAAGAGGGAGCACCGTGCATTCGAACGAATGCTGCGTTATCTCTACAGGACCGGCCTTATCCTAAGCGATTTCGTTCCATTTTCTTAATTAAACGGGATAAATAAGCTGACTGCGCCACTTGGACTACCACTCGCATTGGTCTCTATTTATTTGTTGTGTTTTTAAGAGAAAGTTTGTGCGAATTTTCCAGAACTATCAAAACCATAAAACTCTCATTTATCTTTGGAATAATGTACCTACAAGATAAATTCCCACTGGATTTATCAATAACAACATTAATAATCCCGAGGAATCTTCGGCTTTTATCTAAGCGTATATAAACGAAAGTATGGGATAAAAACGAAACGAATTTCTCAAAGGATATCTATATACGTTCGTGAAGCGTATCTAAAAATAAAAATGGGTTAAAAAATTCGTCGAACAGTCAATTTCCCTTATATCTACCGGGATAAATTTAATACAGCCTTAAAGTGTTAAACTATACGCATACATCATTAGCACCTTCAATGATGAAATTTCCATGATACACCGCCCATTGATCGGTGGCCTATTCTATTAGAAAACCGCGATTAGGAGCCGGTGATGAATCGCTCAATCCGGCTACCCGCGAAGAAAACGAACGTTGTTACGGGACCAGCCCGTATTTTATCTTGTCAACGAAATGATTGATGCGACTAGAGGTCAATACGGAAGCCGAGTCCTATAGATAAGTGCCAGCAGGGCGGCCCGAAGGGGTGTGTATGTGTACGTGTGTGTGCGCGGTTAAGTTCGAAACCGGTAAACACGGGTAATGATCCCTCGTGAGATTAACATCTCTACAGTGATGTTCTTTATTTCATGCAACAGAAAACGTTCATTATGGATGGAAGTTATTGTTCAAAAACCGTAGTGTCGCAAATATGTATCTCGCAGGGAGGTAATCTTATTTATTTTATTGTGGATTGAGAGGCGCTCGTGATTGGCCGGGCTTAGTGGAAGCTTTCGCTGATCTTTTCGAATTACGGGAAACGTCCCTTTTCACGGTCATTTTTCAAGACTCGGAGAGGCGAGGGGGGCGGAAATAATGCGATTCGATACGGAACGGCGGCCGAGTTGACAACCGCTAAGGGCCTTTTTGTTTCCGCCTTTCCGCCCTTTATCTAGCATTGTTTCAGGAAGCTATTTTGACAAACAACTGATTAGCGATAACGTGCAAGTCGGGATTCCCCTCTTTTGTTACGGCTCGGACGCGAACGGAATCGGTTCGAACCATCGGCCAGAACAAACGATTGTTTTTATCGCGAAAATTTACAATTCATTATTTCCTTGGCGCTGCGGAAAAATCGAAAATTGATGGCAAAATAACTCGCTGGAAATATTCGGTATATAAACTGTCCTGATAACACCTTCGAAATTATAGTGGCATCTCTTTCTCATGCGCACAAATATCAACATATTGTGAGGCAATTAAATTATTCTTCGTATTATCGTGGAGTACCATCAGCATACCAAAAAGAAGCGGAAACGACGAAGGGACAAAAGGGAGTCGGCCGGACTTTGTTCATTATTCATGACACGAATACGTTACGTTTCGATGGAACTTATTCAACAACAATCGACCCATCTCTAATAACTTTTCCCCAACTTGTTTGAGAGAAACTTAAAGTCACAGGAACAATACTGTAAATATGAAATTAATCGACTGTCGCTTTAACAGAACAAATACAGGCGTGTTGTTTGATTGTACAGTAATTAAGTGTTTGTACAAACCTGTTTTTTTAAGACAACGAGAGAATATTTCAGATAGTAGAAAATACATCAATCTGCACGCATTATTATTCTAGCATAACTGTCAAAACTGTAGGTAATTAATTGCTAATATCAGACGGGTTCAAATTACAATAGTAACCTTAATTGTAATAATGACTGCATTATTAGGAGCATGCTCGGACTAATTGCGGAAATTCAACGGCATGTTCGGCTGGCTTCGCTTTTGACCAGCACAAAACCACGTGGCACATGCTAGTTTCCGCCAAATATAAAATTATTCGGTTATGCGAAACATGTTCGCCCGTATAACTAATGGCAGTAAACACATCATAAATTGAACCAAAAACTAAATCAAATCATGGAGAAGTACGATTTATAAAATGTTTGTTCTACCATCCAATATCGGTGCGAAATCTTTCTAGTGTTGAAACGCATGAGAAAATAAAAACTAACGGACAGAAGCGAAAATAATTAATATTTCTTTTATGAATCCAACATCTGCTACGATTTATTAGATCACAAGTGGCCTGCACTTTTATGTTGTCGCAAGATGAACGTTCTCTTTGTATCAGTTTCTATTTTAATTGATTACAATGCTATTTATGCTCAGTATAAGCTTTTCAAGAGTATTTGGAAATGCTTCTGTTATATCATTATAATGTAATATTTATGTAGAAAACCTTTAGTTCTATCTCAAGGTGTTTTTATTACATGAATCGACGATGTAACTTTTATAATTATCAGTGTTTAAAGTTGATAATTTTGAAATTGCGGTTATTGAAATTCTCATAATGGTGTTCGTACAACGAGCTTAATTATTTATCGATTCATTGAAATCTATAACCGTCAAATTAGGGAAATAAATAGTGCCCCATATAAGCAAACATCAATTGAATGTAACCCTCTCTTTTATCGAAATGATTAAGATTAAATACGAATCCCGGTCGAAGCAAGCGGGGCGCAAATAAAATATAATGACCCATTGTCCCGACTCAAAAAATACTACATACTTGATTCGGCTCATGAACCTGATTACCCCCATATAATTGTTATGTAACCTATGACACTTCCAAAACTGTCCCCTATACTAAAACTTCGGGAGTTCGCAAACACGAAACGTCACCCCACCGCTACTACCCCTAATGCAAATTAATCTTCTCCCGTCCAATGCATACGTCGTGCTACGTTGCCAATAATATAATTCTCATCATGTTCGGATAAATTAAATTAAGAAATTTATGATAGAATAGGACAATAGAGAGATTCAAATAAATATTTTTTTGTAGTGGGTATGTAATATGATTCTTTAAAGAATTATATAATGAAATTTTATGTTCGAATAAGTCATCAAAAGTTGTTGCGTTGTAATTTAATCACACCATAAATTTTTTAGTTAGTTTTTAGCGGTACAATAGCCTTTGTCATGCATCCGCATCACGGGAATTTTCAGAAATTCAATGGAAATTCGAGTAGAATTGACAACGCTGCGTCCGTAACCCGTAACTAATTCAGAACTTCTCCGTTGCAGGTTGCCGGCGCTGGCATCGTCGTTGAGTAGAGGGGCAGTCAGCTGGCACGGTCGTCGCGACGCCGATTTCCCGAACAGTCGACGCCGAACGTCGTTTCGCGTGCAGTGCATATCGATCTTGTCTTTTTCACACAATTCGGGACTCACAGAGTGCGAACAGGAACCGTTCGTGATATGCCCACTTAGAGGATGTTTGTTGTTTGTGGTTCGGGTTCGTTCCGTTCGATTTGACATGCTGTAGCCGACGAAGAGAGCAGACGGAAAATGAGTGTTTTCGTAATACTTGCGGCGTGCACGTTTTCCTCGTGTTTGGCCGCTTGGCAGGAGAATGTCAGGCCGAAGATGTATGTCCAATTAGGTAAGTTGAAATTCCATTTCTATTGAATGTTCCGGCGAATTGGCGCAGTCGAAAGGATAGACACACTATTACACTAATTACATTGATAACAAAATACTGTTATACGACATAAAATTTGTAATTATCTAATACATTTCTTATATTTGCATTAATCTTTTTAATATTTTAATAGTAGGTACGTTCATGTGTCGAATTAATTATAACGTATCATTGGTCGATTTGGTATTTGGGTATTCTAACAAATACGATGCGATAAATGAAAATTAATGGTATAATTTTTAACGGGGCGGGCGCGAATGCGTCATAAAAGATTAGCAGGGATACAGGAGCAGGAGCACCCGCAGAGAAAATTGTAATTCGCAGATTGTAATCCGTTAGATAAAATGCAATAATCGCCGAAAGGGAATCCCTGGCGTTGCTTTTATTTTCTAAAATTAACCGGAGATTAAACGTTCCGATTTTCGTGTGCGGATAACTTTTCGAATCGAAATCGATTCGCCATTATTTATCGCTTTGTATCGGAAAAAGCGAGGAGCGTCAGATTACAAATTGTGGGATTTTAACGAATTTAAACTTAACGATCTTGGATTGAACTTGAACGAAAAGTTTCCATGGAATATCCGGAGGAATGTTTACGAAACCGAGAACGATAGATTAGTATCTATTTCGAAACGTTATAGGCCGCTTGTTGTTTCAACTGCATAACCGATCATTTATTTTGATGGCTCCCCTTCGGATTATTTCCCGGCATTAAGTAAACACCCAGAGCCGCCATTATTTCGGATGCAGCCGGGACAGTTACGGCCGCTATTTCATACACGAAACACGGGCCTTGTATGTGATTCAGGTAGTCGTTGGAATGTCTCCTTTTTCTTTTTACTCGAAATCTGAGGTGCGACACACCTTGAACTATTGTTGGGATCCCTTCAAATCGGATTATTACGGGCGATTCAATTTTTTTACGGCCGTATGCTGATTTATATACCAACACCAACTGTAGGTGTTGCTTCTTGTTCTACTATTTTATTTCAACGTAGATATTATGTGTTGTTATAAAATTGGTTTTGTTTTTTTAAGGCGTCATTTTCATTTTATACAAGTTGTTATAACGATCGCTTCCTTTACTTTTAATCGAGTTAACTTCAATTTTATTGTCATGCATAATACATTGTTACTATTTGCGCCGAGATTGTTTCCCTCCTGTCTCTCACTTAAGGCTTCAAAGATGTTAATTTGCATAGTACGCCGGACAAAACCGACATGTTTTTCGGGAATATTTAATAATAGATTTACTCGGTTTTTATTAAAAATTTGGTCGATTAATATTTTGCATGTTGTCGGTGAAATTGTCGGCGTTTTTAACATTTAATCAAAGCGCCAACATTGTACAGAGAGCTCAAATAGCGAAATATCATAAATTTCTATTTACCCATATATTTATTTCCACGTTTCGACAACAATGCGAATGTTGACGGAAGGCCGACGGCCCGTTTTGTTTACTTTTAATTTTGTCCCATTTGTTTACACCGGCCGTTTCATTTCTAATTGATGTAAATACCATGTGCATATAACCAATTAATTGATGTTGGCATTTCCATAGGCTACTCAAAAATATTATAAAACTACCGAAATTTTACAGTAGTTAAAATCGGCGAAAATTAAATAAAAAAATTTGATTTAGATTGTTTGACCTTCGATTAATAGGTGAACACGGGTCTGCAGTCGGATCGTGAATTTTACCGCAGAAGCCCTGTAGGTACACGAAAAGGGTTAAGGGTATAGGGCACATCTGCAAAGTCATCTATTATTTTACGGTCAAGCGGGCAAGTGCGTAGAATCAAGGTGGACTAGTACAAAGCACAAGGGAGCAAAAAAGGTATGGGTTGATAAACCGTTGAGTATCCCATCCTAAGAAAATAGCATAAGATGGTCTTAATGTAATTTTAGTTGAAAGGAAATTCTTTAAATATTTTAAGAAATATCCAGAATTTAATGAATTAATGGTATTTGAGTCTATTGTGGCAATGCACTTTTATTGTTTCACGCCCTTTTAATACTCTAATTAACACATTAACTGATGGTAATCGTCAGCGTGACGAAAAAAGTAATCGGGTGAAAAAACTCATCTGAATAAAAAATAACCTCATAGTCACACCCTAAAGTACTTATTGAGAATTTTACGACTTTATCGCACGAATTTCGTTAATCTTGATACACTAATGAATTCCCATTCAAACAGATTCTGTAAACAAAAACATGCTATTAATAAACCCCCAAAATCACACAAAAATTTATCATTTATCGACACAACCTGGAAGTATTAAGTAGTTAATGGAAATTCCCTATAATTCTGATTCCTTGATAACGGCGAATAAAACCGTAAATTCAAAAAGGCTCTAAACACGCCGGATAACTGTATACCTAACCAAAAAAAGTAAACCGGAAAAAAGTGACCGCCGGCTCGCGGTCAATTCGTACAAATCAAGCGATGACAGTGGGAAGTTAAACGCAGGTGCTCGCCGGTGTATGAGCGTCAAATAAACATCGGGTCGAGTGTAAAACGTTGGTTTTCTCCCGCAGAAATATGCGGCACGTACACGTCGGCCGGCCATGTTGAGAAATTTACGATCCGTCCTTCGAACGGCTCGTTTACTTGCCCGATAAATTCGCGTTACCGTCACCAGTAATAGAAAAAAAGTTGATGTATCGCCAGAGGTAGCGATTCCCGTATTTACGTTTCCGCTTTTAATCTAAACCGAGCTTAATCTATTCGCTCAATCAATCGATCAGCATAACTGGACCTATTCAAAGTTTCGAAATCACTAAAGGCTTCTATGTACCTACATATATGTTTGTATTTGTTTTCCAAACTGTTCCATTTAGTGTAGGTATTCCCGTTACGTCCTTCACCTAAACTGTAAAATTTCATTTGCAATTATTCCGGTACAATAATGGAAAAGTTTTGTAATGCAGGAATTTTCAAAATGAGCTGACAGCTGCAATTAGAGTTTTTAAATTAGGCTTCCGATGGCGACTTTGTCCGCGACTCGGCGTGAAAATGTAATGAATCGGAAAAAACCGGAAAAACTATAGAATGAAATTTCGAGAAAGTTTTCCCCGATCGCGAGTAGTTAATGAATCCGAATTATAATTTATAATGTAGCTAAAGTAGTTGCGTAATTAATAAAATTTTCCGTCTGGATGGAAATTTTATAGTTTTACTTAATTTCGAACACGCCCACGGCACAGAAGGATTAATTTGGTTTTGTTGCCGACTTCACTTTCATCTCGAATTTAAACAATAAATTCTTCGTTCGTTTTGGCATGGCTCATTTTCTTTTTCTTCGCGAACTATTCGGGAAACTTTGGCAAAGCGACCGCACGAATGCCGAGCGAAATGAGACCTAAAACTTCAAATAATACTCTCGGAGATTTCGCATCGGACTAAAAACCGAACGCCATATTCAATAACAGCTTCTTTATCTGCTGTTGGTTTAATTGAAATTGACTTGCCCATCAACTCGATTACAGAGCATCCAGGCAGAAGTTTCGCAGGCTATTTCCGGAATGGTTTTTATCTCTCATCCTTCACATTGATCACTTTATTAAAGCTGTATTTGAAAAAAAACCGTCGCGTTTCAATTTTTTTACATCTTCCAGGCACTTAACGACTATGCCTTTTCGGTGTAAATATAAGGGTGCGTAATAGAGGGCGTCTGTTTAACCGCGGGCGATGATAGTTGTTTTTTTCCTCGACTTGATCGATATCGAGCCGCTGCAGCGGGCCCATTGTCTTCAGATAATGTACTTTCTATAAAAAGAAATGATCAGATAATGGCTCGCAGTAAGTGGCCTCAGCCTGCCCTGCCGTTCTCGTTGCATTATGGATATTGCGAATTTCTTGTCGCCACTTTTTTTTGGGTTCTGAACGACTCAAAATACTACCACGTTCACTACACCTTTAAAAATTTATCTTACTCTATACTTACAACTAATTTCTTTTACGTATGTAATTGTATAGGTATAAAGCTTTAAAAACGATAAGCAATCAACTCTCACCAGCGAACATAATTAATAATTACTTCTCGTGAAATAATAACTTATCGTATTTCTCAATTATATTGTTGTGATATAACACTTCTATACGGCGAACAAACACTTTTTATGGCGCCATAAAAAGCGGGAATTTATCAGTCGAGTTTCATTAGGGATTATTTTTTGCGGAGACGCGTCACGTCCGCGGAAACCTCAAAAGTAAACAGAGCCGCTGAGGAAAATCCGCGAAAATTCGCATAGGCATCAAAAGAACGAAAACGTGCGATCCATACCGACGCATAGACGGGGCCATAAGTGGATCAATACTCGAAGAGCACTTTATTTTATCGCCAAGCATACGGGTGTGTGCGATACTGTAATAGGATTAGCGAAAGCACAACTAGACATACCTTTAATTATACGAAAAAGGCAGGAAAAATTACAAAATTCTGCATAAAGGGTTAAATGAACATCTACTATATTTGTATTCAATCATTGATTAGGTATATCGAATCGATTAAACTTTTACATTTCCCTCATACATGTGCACTTTAATTTCGCCAAACCCCATCGGGATTTATTATTTATCAGAACCGTTATCATCACGTAAAGCCAATTCGACATCCAAACAATATAGCGAGAGATTTATGTACAGACACTCCGCGTTTCTCGCTCTCTCGTAATGTTGTCGCAACAACAATACAACATGCCGCAGAACAACGCCCGACGCATGTAGGCGACATTTCTCACCGTTTGCAACTGAAAAGCAGATGCGCTTAATAATAATTATTTTATCGCGAATTACGCTAATTCCCGGCCCGGCCGGGAATACGGTCCCTCCGCAGGACCGTACTGAGCCGAATAATTGAAATTAATAATGCACTCCCGAATATTTCCCCTCGATCCGTGCATCTTTTAATCATCATATTAAATCTTCTCGTAGCGCAGATATTACGTTCGAGCTCCCGGCTGAAAAGCATCTGCACTTAATAATAATTATTTTAACTCGGCGGTAATGCGACTTGATGGCTATACACGTTAGGGTAACAGTGTAATGAACTAATGCAGCATCC